CCTGTACAGAATTTATGGTTCGAGAGCTTATTTGTAGGCTGCCGTTTTAGCTATATTGTTGTACTCAGTAGACAAGTGATGTACCACGCATATTAATCTTACAAATCTTTGTTTAGGTAATCAAGCGTTTTCCCGAGTCGCTTCAAGCAGACGTCTGCCTCCACTTACACCGAGGTTTATTCGAAGAATGTGGCGTGTTTAAGACTGCTTCGGAGGGATGTCTTCGTGCTCTGGCTTTGAGATTTAAAATCCGACATTATCTTCCAGGACACTACATTATAAAACAAGGAGATGAGGTTAAACGGTTGTACTTCATAGCTAAAGGCAACATTGAAGTGGTAAAACACGACGAGACTATGCTCACTTTAGGTTGGTATTTTGGTAATATGTTTTGTTTTTCTGACAGCGCCTAAATTGAGGGTTACGTGAAATCCAAAAAGAGAAAGAAAGAGGAAAACTTGCATGATGACATTGTTTTTTTTTTCAATTTATACCAAAAAAATTGCACGATATTTTTCAGTTCAATACACACAGCCAAAAGTGGAGTTCAAAAGAAATTTTTAATGAACACCCATACAGATCTACCGCTCATATTTTATCAAGTACATAAAATACAAACTCTAAAGGGCCTAAAAATCTTTCCTATGGTTCTGTTCATTTTTCCAGGATTGCTGGATTGTTTAACTACCCTCCCCACCCCCTCTCAAAAAATGAAACTTAAATCTCAGACGATGCATTTTATCAAATTTAATAAACACCTATTAAACCCTTTTCTATTTTTTCCTTATATTGTTAATTAGTCTTTTAAGTACATACAATCGAATTAAGCACATACTTATTCAAAGAACCGTCCAGAGTCATCGCCATCGCGATGACTTTTTGGTTATTGCTCTTAATTTAAACTATTAAGAATTAATTATAACTGATTTCGTTATTTCGAATGACCAATCCGAGCTAAAAAAAATTTGGTTGCAACAATTAGAATGAGAATTCTTAGCAAACTAAGTTACTGATACTATCTGGATTGTTGTGTCTTGTTTGTTTCACAGGTAAAGGTGACGTCATCAGCTGTGATTACAGTACAGTTCAGAGTCTGTATATTCCGCAAGCCAATGCCAGCCTTCGCGTTCAAACACATGGCGAAATTCATTCAGTTGCTTGGAGTGATTTGGTTTCAGTGTTAAAGGCTTACCCGTCATTTCGAGAAGATTTTCTCACTCATTTGGAGCTAGCGTATAATCTGGGGACTGACGCGGAGGTGAGATCGCGATAAGCTCGCGGAAGTGTAACAGACCAAGTTTTCAAAAGAGTGTTAGATGCGGCGATATTTTTGCCTCAACATTGTCTTGTAGATCTGCGTATATTGTGACTTCATCTCCTTTGGATGCCCCTTTTGTATATTTCTGCTACTTGTGTATCCGTCTCTGCTCTGCATGGATTTTTTTTGTAGTTACATTTAGTTGTAGCATGTTTTCGGACAATGTACTTTCGTCTGGAACATATTCAATCATTGTTGGTTTAAAGTATAAAAGGAATGTGATCTCAAAAAAACTCACATCACATCCTTTTCCTTAACTGGACGAGATAACTTTAAGGCAGTTGCACTCTATTTAGCCATCTATCATTTGTTTTTGTAGGATGAAGAGGTCGTCCTTTTATTTCCAGAAGAAACAAATCCAGGCTCTCCGCGGAGATTGTCCAACGCACGATCAACATTCTCCTCGCGTGGTAACGTGGACAGGCTCGAACGCACAGGATCACCAACTTTCTTCATAAATGGCAGAATTCCTCAGACACAACACGCAACGGGAGGGGATGGCGGCGGGGGAAGTGAGCCAAGAATCCATAATCTAATGCCATCTATTAACACCACACCTCCTTCGTTAATATCACAGCTAAATTCCGCTCAAGTGCAGTGCTCGCATAACACCGAATTTAGAATGCTTGAACAAAGAATGCAGAACTTAGAAACGCGGCTCACAACCATGGAGGAAAGAATATCAGGAAACTTTGAGACAATTTTGAGTTATTTGCGAAGTTCGAAGAAGGGACATTCTGCTCCTGATCTCAGAACCACAAATGTTTAATCAATACATCCATGCTTTACTTTCGCATTCAACCTTCTCTCGTACTACTGTTGCCGAGTAACTATTTAACACATACAGTAAAATTCCGAAAATAAGCCCTCCGTGTATAAGCCCCTCCAAATATAAGCCCCCCAAACCGGTGACGCAAAAGCTCCCTCCTTTAAATCGCCCCTCCAAATATAAGTCCCCCGGAAATGTGCCCTCAAATACAAAGTAAAACAGCACAAAAACAGTAAATTTACTTCCAACTATAAGGCTAGCCCAATCGATTTGTAAACCCAAATTTCCCTCCGTAGATAAGCCCCTCCGAATATGGGCCTTTGAAAAATATAAGGCCCGGGGCTTATTTTCGGAATTTTACGGTATTTATTGATAGAACAGTTTAATTTTAAATTTTAAACAACAGAACGATTTTTCTCGCTTGTGGTCGATGAGAGTATAGAGCGTTTATACTCACGTGGCCAGCATCTATGCAAATTTCCTCTTGAATAAACAGCGAGGTTGATCGATGGTCTATAGCCCAAGCAGCCTCGTTTCCAATCAAATACACCATCGATCAACCTCGCTTCCAATCAAATGTGCCATCGAATAAATGGTATATTGCTCGCATCTTCCAAATATGGTAAGCGCCGGTTGGTTATGAAGAATTAGCTGGAGCAAATCACAAACAGCTGATATTTTAAATGAATCGGTAAAAATTTAGTCATTTCTTTGTCTAGAGGTGAACCACACTCAAGTTCTATTCCTCAGAAAGTAAAAATGTTAAACCTCCATTTATACCCAGCGAAATACTGTAGATATTTCGTAGATATTAGTTAACAGCAGAGGCGGATCCAGGGGAGGGGCCCGGGGGGGGCGGTGCCCCCCCCCTTATTTTTAGAACAAACTGAGGCCCGAAGGGCCGGAAAAAAATTTTAAACCGCCTCCCCCCCCTTGTGTCAGGGTCTGGATAGCCGCCCCCCCTTATTTGAAGGCGTGGATCCACCACTGAACAGCACAAGGCAACCTTTGAAATGCAGTACAATTAAATCAAATTTCCATATTTTAACAATGAACGGATGAGCAAAAAATAAAAATAATAAAGTAAAAAAAGAGATAATTTCCATAATCTAACAATGAACCAGTTTTATTATTTGGTTCTAAAAGTCTCTTGAAAAGATATTAAATGTGAGAACTTCAAAAGACTAACAGGATTTTTACCGTGAGCAAGGGAAATGTACAAATGCGCTTTGTCATAAATGTTAGTAAGCATGTTTTTGACGATCGTTCAATTAACGAATGTTAGACATGCAAATTCACGAACCAATATTCGAAATTTTGTATACTCGTTCTTGTAATTATCGTTGAAATGAACAAATAAAAATGAAATTTAAGTAATAAAATGGATGCGAAATTCTGTGCTAAAGTTGGGTTTCCTGTTATTATCTCTCTTTATTTTCGTTCCCAGGCATGACAACAGCAAAGCGCAATAGACAATACCGTGACCCAATAGTATATGGGGTTATTAGGAATGCAAGGTTTGCATTTTACTTTTGCAGAAAACAAATGCAAGAAAACTGTCCTTGTTGCCAACACCTTATAATAACGATCTTTGCTGGCGCGCCATTTGTTTACGAGATGCTGTTTGAGATCCTCCATGCTGGCGAAACGCGGAACATTTCGCAGAGATACGTATCAGCCTCCCTCTTGTTATCTTTACAAAGGACCCTTAGTCTTACACCGATGTATTGCGGCTCCATCTAGCTCAACATTATCCTGCGTAGCAGGTGCTAGGAAAGAATGTGCGAGAATTCATTCGTGTTTAACCACCCATTAATGTTTTAACCCGCCCATTCTTTGTAAAGTTTCGACTTTTTCAAAGTTTCTCCAAAACTATTCGTTATGTCCGGCTCAAATTTTCACAGTTAACTGAAACTGTTATGCTCTTTCGATAGTCTGAGAGTTTATTTAGATAGCTTGATCAGAGAATGACACGCATGGGCCGATGAGGCAAAAAAAAAAAAACGTATACAAAGGTTCGCCAATAACGTCAGCAAAGCTTCGCTTATTTTCGCGTTTACGGTTGATGAATTTCTTTAGGTTTGATGGGGGCTTTGTGGAAAATAGACTGCGAGAAACAGGAAAGAAGTGATTTCCTCACTGAGCTTAACCTGAGATCAGGCCCAATTTTAGCGGTTCTCATGCATTCTCTAAACGGCTACGTCTGAATGTTATTTACAAAGCGAATGAAAATTGAGCCTGATCTCAGGTCTCTAAGTCAGCCTGTGTCGGGCTCTTGGTCAGGGCAGACGAGCGAAAATAGTGAGCGAGCAGTGAAATAGCGAACAAGCGAGAAACAAGGAGAAGAAAGAATGGGTGAGCCTGTATGCATCTGTTATACCCCATCCACTTTCTGAAAAACCTTTTTTCGTGTCAAAGTGTGAAATGTCAAAACGTCAAAAGATACGGTGAAGGAGGGTTTCACCTGCTTGACATGTCTGTCAGACTCTGCGCGCGCGAAGCCAAATTATGTCATAAGTGTTGGAACGGTGCGTAAGCAAGTCCGCGCGAGTTTACCGTTGAGGTGTACGCGCGTAAACAAAACTCAGAAATATATTTCTTTTCGAAGCAGAAAACAACAGAAATTTGGGTAAGTCCTGATGTTATAATTACGTGAACTTTTGACAATTTCATAGTTAGATTGGTTTTTTGGCATGTGTTCAGAAAGACTTTTTCGAAGCGCGCGGAGCCTTCCGGAAGATTGAAAGTTTCGAGCAAAATTACCACCTTATGGTCGGATTAAAAACCATATAAAAACCCGCTTTTGACAAAAATTCTTTGATAGGGTGTGTTCGATCGAACGAGCCACATTTAAAACATGGAGTTAACTCTACAGAATGTTCATTTTTAACAAAAATGTATTGTAGTCTCTTGTAGTACAATGTAGTCACGTTTCTAGTAGAGACACTATTTCAAGTTCAGTGTAGCATTATAGTGACTCTAAAACTCTAGCTCCAATGGATAACACTTCCCAAGTCAAATCCACTGGATAACGATAACGATAGTCATGAAGAACTGTGGCCTGATGAAGCCGGCAATCAAGATAAGATGCTTTAGTCGATTTGGAGTTACGCTTTGCTTTAACAGCTAATTTATAGGTAATCAAAAGACCTACAGTAGTATATTCCAAAAAATAAAGACTAAAAAATGTACAATAATTCATCAGATAAAAACTGTAAAAGCTACGTACTAAGAAGACATACAATAAAAACAGCAACAAAAAAAAAACATGCAGCAGTTAATATAAATTCCAATATCAAGATATCAGTCAAACTTAAGCGATCGAATTTTGTTTTTTACTCTATTAGTACCTGCTTTTTTTCTAGTACCATTTGCTAGCTCCTTCCATTTTTTAGTGGCAAAATATCTGCGTGATATGAGTTTAGTCGTGTTTACTCTGAAAGAGATGTAATCTTCTCAAAGATTATTCTTGAATGAACGTAAGGTGATAAGATCTCTAATTGCAGGTGTAGCTTTGTGCGATATACTGTTACTTGTCAGTAGCATCAAGAGAGAATGATAGTTATATAACTGTGCCCATGGCCTGAAATGAAACTCATAAGCCACATGGAAAAGAATAGACTGCAAAATAGTCGGGTTTTTTTTGTCAAAATCAGTAAAGAAATCGGTAAAGCGCGGCGTAAGAGTCTTACGCGCGCGAAGCGCGCAGTCTCGCTCTCTGTTTTCAACCTCGTTCCAGACCTTTTGTTTGACTGCTCGCGCGTACTTGATTACGCAAAAATATGGACTCTTTGCAGTCTAGGAAAGGAACGATTCGTAAATCTTTGTTACATTCTTTGAAATATCTTTCTTTAATAAATTGGTTTTCGGCTTCATAACCTCTTAATGAGAATTATGTTGCAATGATTCTGCGTTTAACGTTCAACGCGAAGGATGAATTTAGGGGTCCGCAAACTCAGTTTAGAACTCCGTGATTCATTCCAAACACCTCATCACCCCTGCTAATGGGTCCCAGTGGGACCAATGCATAAAGACAACATTAGTCTCTCCATAGAGTGGTAAATCCTTTTTGTGTGCAATTGTAACACTTTCCGGCCCTAAATGTTTAAAATAAGCACTTGTATTTTGTTTATATACAGGTTATGTCTCTTAGTTCCAGTTCAAATCCTCGAACGGACACGCATCTTAACCCGTGTAAAATCCGCCATGATTCCCTATTCAAAGCAGTGTGGGACTGGCTTATTCTGGCGCTCGTTATATTCACCGCAAAAGAAATTCCCTACTTTGCAGCATTTTTACTACCGCTACAAGGAAGCAAATGGTCACACTTCGATGAACTTACCCCTCTGCTTGCCGTCAACCTTCTGGTGGATGTTATATTTATAGCTGACATTTTGATTAACTTCAGGACAACCTTTATTAATCCTTCAACCGACGAAGTAGTAAGCGCTCCAAGACAAATTGCACTGCATTATTTGAAAACTTGGTTTGTGGTTGACTTTTTATCGGCCATACCAATCGAGTTAATGGTTTTATCACCAGTTAAAAAGGTGGGTTCGGTAAGTTTTCGTTAGTTTTCCACAGCTAATACTGGACACCTTTTGAGATTCGAGGACGAGATTTGACTTAAAGGCATTTCGCGTATTGTCAAAAAATAGGCATCCTGGAAACCATCATTGTACCGTTTTTTTTTTCACCAGAAAAGCCAGCAAAGTTATATTTTTGGAGGTGGTTAAGCCCTGCTATTCCGACCTCAAAATGTTAAAACTTCTAACTTTTCATAACTTGTTTTTTTCCGCTAGTACGATATTATTGCTAAAACTGATAGCAGAATGAAGACTAGGATACCACGTTTTCCCGCCAACTAAAAATGACACTGTTTCAAGCGCGCGTCCGTCTTCGTAGTCGTACCCGTCTTAGCTAGAATCTAAAGGTCTATAGCTATTGGCGCAGCGCTAGGGATGAGCACTGTCCTTCCATCAACGCCTGGGTTCAAACCCCGGAGGTGATGTCATTTGTGCGGAGGCTGAGTTTGTTCGGCCTTCTCGCCCAGTGAGGTTTATCTTTGAGTACTCCGGTTTTCCGCTGTCTTATAAAACTACAATTTCTTAATGTTAATTCCATCTGGAATATGTATGGTAGAAGAAAAGACACTTTTTGAATATGTTACCCTAAGAGTAGATTAAAACTGAATAGTGCTTAAGGTTCCTCTGGGATAGCGAAACAAGGCAAACAATTGAGTACACTTCTCTCTTCCCTCCGTGTGTTGCTTTCCTCGTTCCTTACAGATGTTTTCACGCGCGCTTCGAATTTCACTTGCTCCACTATCACTGAGAAAAATAAGGGAATGCTTGCAGTCTAAGTTGAGGGCGACCAGTGACACTTTGTGGAATCTCTAGCTTAACGATTTAAAAGACTGAGCTGTTTCACGACACTTATCAAAATTCAACAGTAAAAGCCCAAACACTAAATAATGAGGGAATCATAAATTTAAATCAACAGCTCCAAACTTAAAAAAGATGGTATGAATAACACAGCAAACTCAAAAGAAGACAGAGATCGACAAACTTGAAGAAGATTAAAACGGATTGCAATTGCGGTTTTTGAAAACTTGTTAGCCACTCTTTATCCAGCGTCTTGGTGTGAAAACTATGAACAAACTGTTCAAACTAAGAGTAAATAATTGTAAAGAGCTGATCACTTAAATTTAATAAACCTTAGTGGATAATTTTAAATTTATTTGTCGATTCAGACTACACCTATATTTGGACTTTTGAAAACCTTGCGCCTTCTTCGATTGGTACGTGTGGCGCGAAAACTGGACCGCTACTCAGAGTATGGCACCGCAGTTGTCATCCTGCTTACGTGCCTGTTTACGCTCATCGCTCATTGGCTGGCATGCGTCTGGCACGCCATTGGTTTTTCAGAGACACAGAATAAATTCGGCTGGATACAAAAGCTTCAGAGACAACAGTATGGTGATGGAACAAATTTCACGAGTAGTAACTCTAGCCTATCCACTCGCTACATTACTGCTATCTATTTCACCCTTAGTAGTCTCACAAGCGTTGGTTTTGGGAACGTTTCTCCGAACACTGATGCAGAAAAAGTATTTTCGGTTTGTGTTATGATCTTTGGAGGTAAGCAGCTTATGTATCCAGTTTTCTACCTAAACGGCCACTCTTCAGTTACGTATTTTATCCACAGACAAAAAATCGTGTAATCCAATATTTATAAGTACAATAATTATTGATTTTCCCAGCCTTGCTGTACGCCTTCATATTTGGAAATTTAACCGCGATCATTCAGCGGCTTTATTCACGAACGTCACGTTTCCATGATAACTTGAGGATGATCGAGGACTTCGTTCGTTTTTACAACATTCCCAAGTTCACAAGGGAGGAGTTAGAGAAATATTTCAGACACGAGTGGGCCTACACCAAAGGCGTTGACATGGAAACGGTAAGACGCACGAATCCTTAGGTGGCAACTTTACTGATACAGACGTTTGGCTAAGATTCGTTTCCGAGACTATGCTATCAGTACTGTGATCAGATTTGATTTATAATTTTCTCTTTTTTTCGTTAATCAGTTACTAGTAAGTACAAATTTCTGGATTTCTTTGTTTAGGTTGAAGCTTATTCGTTTTATTATTTTGGTTTTAAGTAATTAAAATTATAAAAATGGACGCTTCGCTTTTATCCTTGGCTAATCTATATATTAACAGTCATAAACAGTTGGAGCAGAGACGACACACATTATTTACTTCATCAATTTGTTTTAAGGTAATCAAGCGTTTTCCAGAGTCGCTTCAGGCAGATGTCTGCCTTCACTTACACCGAGGTTTATTCGAAGAATGTGGCGTGTTCAAAACTGCGTCAGAGGGATGTCTTCGTGCTCTGGCTTTGAGATTTAAAATCCGACATTATCTTCCAGGACACTACATTATAAAACAAGGAGATGAGGTTAAACGGTTGTACTTCATAGCTAAAGGCAACATTGAAGTGGTAAAACATGACGAGACTATGTTAACATTAGGTTGGTTCCAACAGTGTTCTATAATGGTTTAACTTAGGACGTTTTCCAGAAGTCAGAACTAGCCCGCTAGAGATCGCCAGACTTGTCATTTCAAAAATGAAATCACTTAGTCTTTAAACCAGTCACTGCCGTGGACATTATTTAGGAATAAACTGATCTGGCTATATGGTCACGATTTATAGTAGACTTCTCCTTCAACTATACCGGTCTGGCCGGCCAGTTTGACAAATAGTAAGCGCACTTTGTCCGATTGTGAAACTCACACCAAAGCACAGTACCGTGGTCACTGTACTTAAACTAACCGCAACAGCTGCATAAAAAGAATCAATCATAGCTTGAAATATTAAGGGCCAATTATTTAAACGGAGTTTAGCCAGTGTTCTGAGTCATTTTCGCTTTGCCCAATGCTTTTATCCCAACACCATTTATCGTAACTACGTAGTTTCATGATAGCAAATAGCGTACACTAGAAAAGCATTTATCTTCTTAAAATAACCCACTAGGGAAGATATCTGGAGGTCCAAATATTTGATTAACAGCGGCCTAAGTTAAACTTCGTTTTGGGGTGCTCACCAACTTAAGACTAATCAAAATTTATCACATTTTTTTTAACTGAGATACATAGTTTAAACTTCAGTTACAATAGAAGAGAAGCGACGACGTCACAAAAAGTGAATTTGCGAAATTATGGGATAGGTTGGCATATTCAGAAGAACAAGATGAAAAAAGCCCCGAAGCCGAAAATCCGACCGGTTGTTGATGCAAATTGTTGAGGAGATATACGTACTTTTATTTATGCTTCGATGACTCCACACAAATCCTTCTAAAATAGGCCTGGATCGTAAAAGTTACAATCCAAGACAACAACAGGCTGATTTTTGGCACGAAATTTTTTTCATCTTGTCCTTTCCGATTGTGCCAACCTATCCCATAATTTCACAAAATTGAATTTTTGTGACGTCACACTTCTTTACTCTTAATGAGAAGGAGAAATATAAAGATAAAACAAAGTTATATCGCTGGATACTATTATCTGTTGAAACCTTGCATTTGTTTATTTGACAGGTAAAGGTGGCGTCATCAGCTGTGATTACAGTACAGTTCAGAGTCTGTATATTCCGCAAGCCAATGCGAGCCTTCGCGTTCAAACACAAGGCGAAATTCATTCAGTTGCTTGGAGTGATTTGATTGCGGTGCTAAAGGCTTACTCATCGTTTCGAGAAGATTTTCTAACTCATCTGGAGCTGGCGTACAACCTGGGGACTGAAGCGGAGGTGAGATCAATTTATCATATTTTAGCCTGTTCCTCGCTGTTTTTCCTCTTCACTTTTCGTTGCACCGTCCCTATTATTTGAACGCCTGGAACAGGCCAATTGTATTTTGGTTAGCAGTGGCTGTATTTTCTACCTGAGAGAATAGCGGAAAGCAATCAAGAGCCTAAAACAGACGCCCTTAAATGTGTGGACTTTCTTGGTTATAGTTGCGCAACATGCCTCTGCATATAGAATCAACAGTTTAGCCAATGTAAGACAACGTATTGAATTCTATTTTTTGTGTGCGTGAGGGAAAAAGAACATAACAAAGCAAACATTTTGCCTTAACAGTTTCCTGTGTCTGAGGATATTGTAATTTTGTCCCTTTTAGAACAAACTCCTTTCCAGGGCTTTTTCCTTCTTGGAACGTGCGCCGAAATTTTATACAGATGACGCGTCACTACACAAATCTGGGTAGTGCTTCTGATTGGTCGTGCCTCGAGGGAAATTTGCCTCAACAAATCAGAAGCCTTGCCCAGATCTGGGTAGTGACGCGTCATCAGTATGGAATTTCTGCGCGTCACACTTCATTTTGCGGTAATACCAGTTGTGGCTTCGCGAAATGTTGGTTTGTTTTCTCAGGCTGCATCGTAGTCCATACCCTAAGAGGCAGTAACTGGAAGAGATAACTAAAAGTGCTTGATCTTTAAATTTATCTCTATAGGAGGAAGAAGTTGTCCAGTTCGTTTTGTCTGCAGAAGAAACCAGCTCAGGCTATCCGCGAAGATTGTCTAATGCACGCTCAACTTTCTTTTCTCATGGCAAAATGGACAGGGTCGATCGCATGAGGTCAGCAACATTATTCGTCAACGGCAAAATTCCGCAGATACAAGAGCGTTCGACTGGGGTGGATATAAACTGCCAACAGCATGACGGTGGAAGTAAAACAAGAATCCATAATCTAATGCCATCTGTTAACACCGCATTTCCCTCGTTAATATCACAGCTAAATTCCGCTCAAGTGCAGTGCTCGCATAACACAGAACTTAGGATGCTTGAACTAAGAATAGAGAATTTAGAAAGCCGGCTTACCACAATGGATGAAAGACTAACAGAAAACTTTGAGACAATTTTAAATTACTTACGAAGCTTGAGCAAGGGATGTTCTGCACCTGAACTCAGAACCAAAAATGTTTAATTACTAGAATAACCTGTTTGCTGCTTTGGCATGATAAAAATTGAACAACTTAATTTTGAAATCGGTATAGTTTCTTTTTTCAATAAAGTTCGTGAAGATACTCTCTGACCTCTTCACAGTACCACTGTGATAAGGAGCAGACCATTAAGCGTGTCGTGAGCGTGCTTTCACCTTTAGCATTAAATTCCTGTGGAGGGTCACATTTATATATGCCGAAGGCATCCTCCCTCTCCAACAAGGTTGGCAAGCTATAAGCATTGTTGTTCCACCCCGACTTAGGTGAGATTTCCTCGCAGACCTGCCTTACGGAAATTCGTTTTAGAAGTTCCAAAGAATTTCAAATCTGAATTATGCATATTTTTAGATATTTTTCCTGATTCATACTTTTGACATCGAGCCGATAAAAGCTGCTGTCAGAAATTTCAGGCAAAAATACAAAAAAAAAATCGAACTGGATGCGATGTTCTTCGAAAAGTAGGGCCAGTTAAACAGTTATTTGGTAAAACGGTTATCACATATAAATAGAATTAACTCATTTTTTGGCCGAATGATAGCAGTAGTTTTTCTCAAATTTTCGCAGCCATCGCGTGGAAATCGACATAGCCGTGGGAGACTCAACAAGTGATCACGATTCCTTGAGCGCGCGCGTTGTTTTGCAAAGTTGTGACAACTTGCACGCGCTTTGATCGGGTTACGCAAGTCTACGTGAGTCGTATGCGAGTCAACCGTTAAGGCGTGTACGCGAAAAGACAACTCAGAGATATTTATCTTTCAGTGGAGAGAAGAAGAGAACTTGGGTAAGTGAACTGACAATTCCACGAGCTACTCTAGATTGCAGCTCCAGATTGGATTTAATACTGTTCTTCAGAAAGAAGTCTTAAAGCAGATCCCTCAGAAAAACGACGAAAACTTTTTTGCAGGCTATAACTTAACGATAATTGACGGTCAGCGCGCAGACTATCTTAAAATATGGTCTTGTTAAAGCAAATTCAAGTGTTTGACAAATGTCTTCCTCTAAAATACATGAACTTAACTTAAGGGACTGTTCTTCGTTAGCAGTTAGAATCCTAATGACACACTTTCTTCCTTAATTGGTAGCATTTTAGTGGCGCTAATTAAAAGTCTGCCGGGAAATTTTACTTCGCAGTCCGTAAAGGTGGCATTTTCATTATTGGATGAAAAATATCAGTTATTTTCATCTTCTAAAGGACTTCTTCTTGGTCAGCCCATTCTGCCGGAATAAGTTACTTACGGGTTACTTAGTTAAGAACATGGTGCATTGTAACGGCAATTCATAGGATAGTTGGCCAACCATAAATTTGACGGGTTTTTTTTAATTATTGATGGCTAGCGGTAACACAAGAAGAATGATTCTTAATAACCACTTAATCCTCAATCTGCCTTTAGTATTTTTCATAATTTTTATGTCAAAATGTTTTCTTTTTCAGTATAGAATATGTCAGGAGGGTCGCAGACTTCTTTCAACTCGCTCTACAAAGGCAAGTACTGTTTGATACACCACGACTCTGTGGTTAAGGCCGCGTGGGACTGGTTAATACTTGCTTTTGTCATCTACACGGCCATTGTGATCCCTTACGATGTGGCGTTCGTGACCCCACGACGAACGAAAATGCACACAAGTAGATTTGGAGATTTGGTGAACTTCTCTCCTATCGCAATTGGAAATCTTATAATAGACTTGCTCTTTATAATTGACATACCAATAAATTTTCGGAGCGCTGTTGTCGACAAGAGAACAGAGGAAGTAATTAGCGACTCTAAAAAGATAGCAATGCTTTATCTCAAGTCTTGGTTTTGGGTTGATTTTGTGGCAGCCATTCCGTTTGAGTTTCTGGTCGATCCACAACATGAAGGGGTGAGTAATGAGGCCAGTTTTATTCAGTTTTAGAGTACTTATTATACATTATCTCCTCGCGACTTGACAGTTTCCTGCGGCTCGTTAAACTTAAGACGAGAGAGGACCAATTCGGAATTATATAGCCAAGTGTAACGACCAGACATATAGGAACACCTATCTACGAGTTTGTCTTTCTTGACACCCCTCATTTGGAGAAACGATGTCCTCCACACAAACACGAGAATTCAGTTCACTGAAACAGCAACACGCAGTTTCAAAGGACTTAAAATAAACTGGTTCTACTTTTAGCTGAAGGGTAGCTTCTGATTAAGGTATAATTTCTAAAGCTAAGTATAAAACAGGTTTATCTAAATAGAAAATTTCCACTGGGTGTCCAGTCTGAAGGTCGACCTCTTCAATTGGTTGGTCTGGAAATTTGTTTTTCGTTTCAGCACCAAAAAAAATTGTGTTTGAGTGATGACACGTTTCGTGAAGAAGTGCTGACAAAGCCAAATTTTGAAATCAGAATAAACTTCAGTACAACAGGAAGATAGTTATTGGTTGTAGGCCTGAAGGATGCCATTTTTTTCATGTAGGTGAGGCTTACCAGATAGAAAATAAGTCTTTGCTATTTTTTTGTCTTTTATTGATCTTCAGGCCACCACTTTGATGGGGTTACTGAAGACCGCGCGTCTCCTTCGCCTGGTGCGAGTGTCTCGGAAAATTGACCGCTATTCTGAATATGGACTGGCGGTTATCGTACTGCTCACGTGTCTCTTCACCCTTACTGCTCATTGGCTGGCTTGTGTGTGGCACGCGATTGGTATTGTAGAAGCGCGTGATGATAGTGGGTGGCTTTCATATCTGGCTGGAGAAATAAGCAAACCGATTAACCAATCAAATCCCACAAGTGGGCCCAGCCTGAACACAAGATATATAACTTCTTTGTATTTCACTCTGAGCAGTTTGACAAGTGTTGGATTTGGAAATATTGCACCGAGTACTGACAGTGAGAAAGTGTTTGCTATTATTGTAATGATCATAGGAGGTGAGTCAGTAAATGTTTTGTACATACCGCAAACTTTCGCTTACAAGCCCTGGGCTTATAGGATCCTTATAAAACTTCGTGTTTGGGTCTTAGGATATCTTATAAACAGGGGGTTTATATCCGGTGGGGCTTATAATTGGACTGAAAAAAGCGTTTTAAAACGAGCCAGATAGTAGTGCTGATCAAAATAGTTTTTGAACTAACTCGCTTTTTTAAGCATCAAAACGTCGTAAAAATCGAATTCATTTCAATACAAGGGAACAAGGGAGGCTTATATGCCGGGGGCCCTTATAACCGGATGTATTTTTTTTTGTTTAAGGGTAGATAGGCCTGTAATTGGGGGGGGGGGGGGTTTATGGGGGGGGGGGGGGGGGGTTTTAAGGGGGGGGGGGGGGGGGGTTGTTACCGGGGTTTTAGGGGTAAAAAAGAAAAGGGTTTGCGGGATTTTTTGAAAAAGTTTTTTTTTTTAACATTTTTTTAAATTGTTTTGGGGGGTTTCTGGTTTGGTTTTTTGGAGGTGTTTTTTTTTTTTTTTTTTTTTTAAAGAGAGTTAGGAGGGTATAGGTAAATGTGAGCTTTACAGTATAGTGAAGACTAAAAGTGCGTAAAATGCTCAATATGTACAAAAGGGGGAAGCAAGGGGGGGTTATTTGGGGGGGGACATTATAACGGTGTTTTTTTTTTTTGTTTTGGGGGGGGGTGGGCGGGGTGGGGGGGGGGGGGGGGCTTATGGGGGGGTGGGGAGGGAGCTTATAAGTGGGGATGGGGGTAGGCTTGTAACCGGCATTTTACGGTATAAAAAGCAAAAGCTGTCTGGAATGTTTGCAAAATGCTTTCTTTTTATCAGTTTATTGAAATGTCTTTGGTGGGTTCAGTGTTTGATTTTTCGAAGGTTGTTGTCTCTTTCTTTTACTTATAAGAGAGATAAGAGAGATTACGGCAAACGTGAGCTTCAACTTATAAAATTCTCAGCGTAGGAAATGAGCAGATTAAAAAAACTCAAAACAATTCGTATGGATAAAAAATAACGTGAAACTCAATGCTAATTTCTGCGTAGAAGCAATGAATAGTAAACGACAAGTAAAGGGAAAACTTGATCTCACGCGGTACAAATTCACGTTTGCAGTTAACCCTAGAAGTGCCAACTCTAAATCTCCCTTATTACACCTCACCATAAAATGAAAAGTTCAATTTGAGCAAACTAGTTGCACTCTGAGATTCTTTGGCTGACTGAAATTAATTTTTGATCTTTTTTTGCTTTTTATTAGCTTTAATGTACGCTTCTATATTTGGAAACTTGACGGTGATTATCCAAAGGTTATATTTACAAAGCTCCAGACAAAAAGAAGAACTGCTTCTTATCCGGGAGTTTGTTAATTTCTACAAAATACCGCGGGCACTTAAGGAGAACTTGGAGAATCACATCCTCCATGAATCCCACTTCCTAAAAGCGGGCGATCTGCAAGCAGTAAGTTGCTTTTCTAACGTATTGTTTCGGCATAGCTTAAGCTCTGGTAAAACGGACAACAAAAGTATGCAACTTGTTTTGCAGCTAGCTGGAAAGCTTTGTTGTACGTTTTACCACCCACTTTTTAAACCTGTCTTGCAACAAATCAGATTGTTACAAGGTGCATGACTACTGCATACTGAATTACGCGGACGTCACGCCCGTACACGGGAGTTGCGTCACTCGATGCAAAAGAAGTTTGCCTTGGGCCAGTTAAACTTTTTTCTTACTTTCTGTGAAAACTTTTCGCAGTTACAACAACCTGATATGTTGCAATACAGGTTAGATTCGTGGGTGGTAAAATGCCTAACATCGCGATTTAACTCGTTTTGTGGCAATGTTGCAAAACAAGTAGCAGGCTTAAAAGATAGAATACATTTTCCAATTAGTTCATCTTATTTTGAACACTTAGGAAATGTACCGGAACGTCTGTATTTCAGAGGTTTTCATATACGTTATAGATGTTGGGATTGTTAGGGTTATGACGACGTCATTTTAGGAGCAACATACCTTACAGTCCGTAATAAAGAAACGTTTTGCTCTATTTCCACCGCCTTCTCGGGCCCGGTCTTAAGGGAGGAGCGCGCGCGAGCCTAAAAAAAAGTTACGAAAATGGAGATGTGCATGAGGCTTTCGACTGCTGCGATAAGTTGCTTCATTGCTGCCTTTGTTGAGGAGGATATTTTCCTTCCGTGAACTCTTATGGACCAAAATGCGTCCCTTTCGTTACTTTAACCGTGTAGCATGCTGTCATACGGTTGGGGTTTCAATTTCGGTTTTGGTATCGCGTGTCGCTGCTGACTAGTTCGGTTAACTCATTCCTCGTGAGACTAATATGCCAATACTAGAACACGTTAGCCCAAAATTATTTCAGTTTCTGTCCATTTCCCCCTCGTTACTCCTGGCCGAAAAAAATCCAGTAACAAGCTAAGAGAAAATAGTGATGGAGGAAAACAGATCCCCACAAATTGTGCTATTTTTTACAGATCTAAGTTTGTGTCCATTCTCAGCTAGATGAAGTGAAAAGCATTACCTCTTATAGTTGAATTAATTTGCGATTACAAACTTTTAATACGATACACAGGTACTGAATATGTTCCCAAGCACTCTCCAAACCGACATCTGTCTTCATATACATGACGAACTATTCAGGGAAAACCCAGTCTTCCGAGCCGTCGTTCCTAGCTGTAAGCGGTTACTAGCCACCAAGCTACAGGTTCAGCATTTTCTGCCCCGTCAATACGTCATAAAACAAGGAGATGAAGTGGATAAGGTGTTCTTTATTGTCAAGGGAATTGTTCACGTGGTCGTGGATGGTGAGACTCTCATTGCTCTCGGTAGGACAATGTTGCTCTAGTGGGATAACTTATTGGGGTGGAGCTCTTAACTTTTATGTTCTCAGTACACCAATTAAGTCTAAAAAGTGTTGAAGAGAAATGTGAAAATACTGCCGAGTGTTGTTTGCAAAAAACAAAAAAACAACAACAACAAAAAAAAACAAAACAAACAAACAAACAGAAATAAAAACAGCGGTCGGGCAGGTTTACTCGGATCAAAACGTGGCTCTAAGCCGTGTGACAGATCTACAAATATGTTTGGAGACCACTGCTCAATAGCCTTCATTTTGGATTGTTCAGTTAGACTCGGCAATGACTGAATACACCAAAGAGAAGATATGATCAACAGATTAAATTGTCGCTGCTATCCCACCCCCTCATATCTCTTCTCTTTCCCACGATCTGAACGCCTGCAACAGGCTATTGCAATAAATTCCAAAACGACCATGGGGCACACTGATAGTATCCCAGCTGGCCTATTCGTACAGTTACCTTGTATCTCTTTTCAAAACCTCTAATTTCAATGGACCCCTATCATGATGTCAAAGCTCTAGATCCTTTGTTTTAGGGATCGGTTCCATTCATTTGATAACTTTAGCTAACTTTGTTCGTTCATTATTTTCCCAAACAATCCGGTAAGGCTTTGTTACAGCTGCGAGATACCTCTGTTTTTACTAACGCAGTTAATCTAAGGGATGGATCCCTAGTGCGGTCTGATCAGTTTATTGCAACAACAACAAGAACAAAGAGGGAGAATTCTACCCAGGGGGTGGGGGGAGGGGTGTACTCCAGGATGACCGAGAGATTTTTTCAGGTTTTTTTTTCGGGTAGGAATTCAAAATCTGGCAAGTATTTTTTGGGTGGCTTGATTTAAGTAGGGATTTTTTGGGGGTATTCAAGACAATCTGAAGATTCGTGGTAGTTCCCGCGCATTCCGGCAGCATAGTTCTGTGAATAAAGTACAGCCAAATAAAGTACAAAGTGTTATATCATTTAATGCTTTCTGGAATTTTTAAGGCTCGGAAATTTGGCGTGGGAGTTTATTGGGTTAATTTTTGATCCACGAATTTTTTTTGGGTATTGTTGGAAGCCCTAGAGGCTTTTTTTGGGTTTTGATTTTTGCCCCCATTCGATCACTTGAAACTTGAAATCCGGAGTACCCCCCACCCCGGCTAGCGATTTCTACTACTCTCCACCTGTCACCTTTTTGTCCTACTTGATGGCCTTCCGATTTTACTATAGAAAAAATTTGTTTATTTACGAGTTTTTCACTGTTTTTCTTCTCAATAGGAAGAGGGGATATTATTTATTGTGAGTTCAAGTCGCCGTACAGCAAACCCAGAGCTACAGCCAGCCTAACCGTACAGACTAATACCCACATTCACGACATTGAGTGGTCCGATCTTTTAACAATATTTGAAAAATTCCCGATGTTTAGAGAAGACTTCATGAATAGGAGAGTTTTTTCATACCAAATAGGGGATTATGTCAAGGTGGGTAGTACTTAAGGGGGTCTCTATATCATATATGGGCTTGAGAATAATGGAAGCTGTCTCGGGTCTTAGAGAACAATGAGAGCTGCCAAAAAAAGAACCAATGGGAGCACAGAATGACGTCATGGTGGAGTTTCGCGGCACAATATGCCGAGAATCACCCGAACCTTGACGAAGACCTTTTGACAAACCCCGAACCTTAAAATCAAGTTTTTAATACCCTGAATGCAAGATTGAACATTAATCAAATATTATACTCATTGCATAATTTGTTTCATATTTTGTTTCTTTCACAAGGAGGATGATGATCTTGAAGTAACTGAAACTTCTCCGAGAGCCGGACTAGAACCGCGGACGAAACTCGCTAACTCGGCGGAGAAAACTCAAGCCTCGTCTCTCGATTTAGCACTCAGTTCAGTGGACCTGAAAGTTTTGGAAGACAGGATGAAGCTAATAGACAAGAGGCTTTCAAATTTGGAGAGCGAGATTTCTCTTGTAATACCATTCTTGAGAAAAACACTCAAAGCCGAAGATTAGCGAGACCGGGAGTTTATTCAAATAATTTGAGTCCAGGCAAGAGCCATCATGGCTCCTGGTCGGGGCACTCCGTTTTCTCTTTCTGTAGTTATACCCTAGATTTTGACGCTAGCTATATAACTCAAAAATAAACTTAGCATGAAACGATTTCATCGAAATGCTGTTACATCTACCTTAAAAACACTGTGTCGGCCCGTTGCCAATTTTTATACCCGGTAACCTGAGATGTGTCAAAGGTTTTCTCCATGCCTTCTCGGGTAAGTCCGACCAAAGGAGCCCCAGAAAACCAAAGGGGATCGCCGTGTACGTCAAATTCCCCGCCTCTCCCCCCCCCCCGACATCCCTTGTCATCACGCAAGTTAAAAAAAGGCATGAGATTACCCTCCCTTCTCCTTACCTTTTCGCCCCGAGAACGCCTGCATGGAGTCTTGGGATATAAAGCTCACGTGACCGGATGTTGATGCCCGATTCAAAATGGCCGACTGCGGTGACAAAGAATCAATGCAAGTTTTCAGCTGTTGCAAGATATTCTCACGCTACAGGCAGTTCCTGGCATACATGCAGTGATTCAAATGCTTCGTTATGCCCAGAAGGAAAAATCAAGGCGGAAATGTAAACAGCGTTGACGCAGATTCAGCACAAAATGTGGCTCGCAACCAAAGCGCTGAGTTGCCGTCGCGTGACACCACTCTGCGTGAATTACAGAGTATGTTTGCTGGTTCAGTCGATCCCGAAGTAGTTCAGCTGGTACTGTCAGAAAGCAACTACAATGGTAGGCAAATCATTGTTGATGTAAAGAGTACATTGTCAATTTTTAATGCTTTTTCTCCTGGTGCTTCAAGACCAAACTTATCGGATATGTATCGAAAGTAAGGTTAACTCGTTTCGGTACGAACTTTAATACAAGTTGCAAGCAGTGAAAATGCACAAGAATTTCGATCACTTAAAGTATAGATAGCGTACGAACATGAATAACCTGGCGTGAATTTTCTATAATCCAAATACGCTAACTATTAACTTACACCTTGACTGAACAGACTTATATCGAAACGACTTTATATCGAAACAACCGTTTAGCTGAATTTACACAATGTAAACAGTCACAGCTCGTCCGGAAAGTAAATAGACAAAAGAGAGGGCCATATTGTTACAAGGAGAAGTGATTAGAGAGTGAATTGACATAGTGATTACTTTTCACTATAAAACCTTTAGGCCCTAAGTGTGATCACACCTTGGAATCAGGAGATAAACTAGAAAGGGATAACCTCTTTTATCTCCTTTTCACTTTCCGATTTGGATTTGTGAATAAACAGCTATTATTATTATTATTATTAGAATCAAATTTCTCCTTGCTATATCAGTTTTTTTCACTGAGGGTCGGAAAGGAGGTTCTCCGTGAACCGTGAACGCCTATTTTTAATTGCCGTGAATCGTGAACGAAAGAATTTATTTATCGTGATCCGTGGACAAAATTTATCTCGTGATTCGTGAAATAACTAATTTATTTCTTGAGATTCATGAGCATGGTCTATAATTAGCCAATTTTTCGTCAAATGTTCAACATAAACTTTCAAGGAACTTGATAAATCAAGGTCAAGTCTGTCAACAAAGATGAACGAAATGCCCCGCACATCCTAAACATGTCTAGACGTCACATGATCATCAGACTTGCACACATAACTAATTCATGACGTGCGAGCGAAAATTTAAGCACGAACAGTGAGGGAAGTGTTTTTCAAGTTTTGGAAGGTGTTTTCTATCATGTGGATCCAACAACATCTTCAAATACAATGAATGTGTTTGTTGGCAGCAAAGAGCATGTACGTATTCCTTTATCGGGAAAGCACTGCTCTTTGCCGGCATTTGTGAGGCACGTGGTAGAACATGGAGGCCTCAGGCAGGGAGCTGAAAAACGAGGCCTTGGGTTCAGCATTGATATAAAATTGTGCTGCTTAGAAATAGGACTAGATGGCAACAAGGTCTATGCAATAAATATATTGTTCTTGCACATGCATGCACTACACTAAAGGCTTGCAAATAATGAAGTGTAGGCCAGTTCTGCTTGTGTACAGTACAGCATGCAGTTGTGAATTATAATTTTTGTAATTAAGTATTTTAGGCATTTGTATGCATAATTCAAAATGGTTGACACCTCAGTTGTGCAATACTAAATGGGTGACAAATAAAATCAAACGCTGAATTTTGCGTGATTCATGAAAGGTCTGTTTAAATTCCCGTTAACCATGAAATTTCAATTTTAATTCCAGTGAACCGTGCATGCACCCCCCCTCCCCTTTCCAACCCTCATGAGTGCTTTTTCACAGCTTTTCCCCACTATCTCTCTAGGCAAATGAACATGTATAAAGACTACAGAGGCAACAAGTAAGGGATCATATTTTGACAATAGGGTTTTAGGGTTTAACACGTATGTGTTGTAGTTAATTTTTCCTCTCAGGTAATTTTCGTTTCTCTTTTGTTTTTGGGTGTGGTAATGTAAGCTAATGAGGTTACTAGAAGCAAAGGAAAAATGAAAATTAACTAGAAAAAAAATTAACTACAACAAGTACACTCAATTCAACTGCATAAACAAGCAACATTTGTCAGAACTTTCTTCCTTTCCTAGCAAATGATGCCATAGAAAAGCTGTTTGTTTTGGGTGGCACAGAGCAAGACCTAAAAGAAGAGAAATGTGCTTCCGAGAAGAAAACAGATCATGAACTCAGGCCATTTTCTAAAACCTTTGGAACCCATGGTGAAACACATGCCCAAAAAACTGTGCCGTCTTCTACGTTACCATTAAGTCCAGTTCCCTGTGAGAGAAATCAAGCACAAACACACCCAGAAAGTTTTCCTGGTACCGCAAGCTCTACTACTCTTTCATCAGGCTTGCCAGATTTCCCTGACAGCATTTCACAGCAGTATAAAGCATTAAAAAGTCAAGAAAAAGTGTCCTTGAATTTCGACTCAACACCTCATGAAAAACCTTCAGCACACAGCACAAACACAAGGCCTCCACTCATTCAACAGGTTATTTGTAGTAGTGAATCTTTAGGGATAAATAATGCTGGTGAAGAGAGCAAACCTACAGGAACCTTGGAGCCCTTTCTCAAGCAAAATATGTCACAGAGGGCTACCACAGACAAGTGCAAAAGTACGTCTCTTGATAATGCTGAACAACAGAGATTAGATTGGGAACCAAGCACAAAGAAAATGTACAGTGGTGACTTTTTGACCCATACAGATATGTTTCAGGATAAAAGGCAAAAGCCATGCAAAGAGAGGACTTCAAATATATGCCATCCACAAAATGTGCAAAGTATGCCATCTGCAAAAACTCAGAGTGTTGGGTTGTCCAATAATTCATTTAATTCTCCCAAGACTCTACCAAGTTATGGTGCAAATAAACCTCATTTTCGACCAGTATCAAACAGCACACAGCAGTTGCCAAATCATGGCACTTTCAACAGTTTACCAGTAACAAAGGAATCTATGTTTCACCCTCCTGCCATACAAAGGCAGGTTCAACCATTTGTGACACCTCTGGGTTTTGGCCAGGTGATTCAAGGCAATACTTCACAACCAAGGTTTGGTTTAATGCCAGTGACATCATCACAATGGCAACAGGGACCTCAGAGAGCTTTAGTTAGGGGACAAGTTCTCCTACAGTACCCTCAAGGGAATTGTCCTGCTTACCAGCCTCCTTTCTTCCTGGGAAGAGGTTTGTGGATTTATGTTGTTTTCTACCTTTTCTTGGTAGCTAGGGTTTGTATTACTCCTCAAACTTTTATGTACCCCTGGAAAACTTCTAGCATTTTTTACTTTTAGATAAATAATATAGTACACTAAATCTTGTAGTATGTGGCTTAAGACTAGACACGATTATCATTCACATGTAACTTTTTAGTCAGGATAATTAATTGACATATTGAAAACATTAATTTTTTTGTTAGTTCAAGTTATGGATCTTGGATTTTTCTTGAAATTTACTTGATCTAGTACATGTAGTTGTATGCTGGAAAAACCCTGCCCTTTCATTCTTTATGATGGTACTAGACATATTGGTTTGTTGTTTTGCACATTGGTTAAGATTTGGTAAAATTTCTTTTAGACCTTATAAGTTTAAAACTGTGCGACCAAACAGGCCCGGATGATGATACTTAATCCAAGGAATATGACTAAAATACTTACCAAAATCAACAATAACTCCCCTTGGGGAGTTGTTGTTTTATTGAAATGATTATCAGGGACACCATATTTAAACATCTATATAGTCTTATATGGCAGCAACATGGCCTGTCGGCCCCTCATTAAGTGGGTCGGAATTTAGTTACCTTTATTTGAATTAATTTACTAGTTTGGTTAGTGTGTCGTTTCCACCATTTGCTTGGTGTAATAAGATAGTATTTCATTAAAGGAGGCCAACTTTCAGCTGCGACCAGGTCTCCAAAACAAGCGTCTACAAGTGTGCAAATGCCATTTTCGCCAGTCATTCATCAGAGGCTGCTTATTTTGATCCGAGGATTACCAGGAAGTGGAAAGTCTACACTTGCACTGTGAGTGTTTACCTCTGTCACCAGAAAAATGTTTAGAAGCACTTTTTCAGTTATATATTTTTGGCCCTTTCCTTTTGGTGCAGCTGAACCTCTAGAAATAGTGATCTCTTTTCAACTGCCACCCCCCCTACCCTCCAACCCTAGCCCCTCCCCCCACACCCCAAAATGCCAACTTTGTTTGGTCCCAAAGGATACATCCTCTCCTCTTTTAACCTCTGTGCAATGACTAGCTTTCTACAACAGCCATCTTTTGAGTCCCTATGGTAGTGGCATTAAGGTGGAGGGATTTATAACTGAAGGCAAGAAATAAGCCCTCGCAGTACCATTAGGCTCCAACATACAGTGGAACCCCATTGATACGGTCACCAATGGGCCAAAAAAAATTTGGCCGTAATAACAAGGTGACTGTACTAACAAGGGTTTCTTTATGAGAAACTGTATGGTCGTTTTTGCCAGGTGGCCAAAAAAAGTGGCTGTAATAACGAGGTGACCGTATTACCAAGGTGGCCATAAGGCGGGGTTCCACTGTACATTGTTTTTGCCAGGTGAGACAGTAGGCCTCCACCTTATCACAGGGTTTGTATCTACCACTGTACAATTTATGTACATTTAGCCATGATGTTGACATGTTACAATTCTGCATTCTTGTAATGATTTCATCGTAGAAAACTGAAAGGTGCCCATGGTGTTGTGCTCTCAACAGATGACTTCTTTTACAGGAATCAAAGGTATGTTTGATTTTTTTGCATGCATTCTATTTCTCTCGTGTCCATCTCTGCTGGCACTGTATTGCATAAGTGTTTGGAGATCGACCTATCCTTATTTGAAACGCCTTGTTAAAAACTGCTGTAATAATGAGCTGTAAGAATCATCCCTGAATCTTGTTATAATGCTCATAATAGCACCAATAATAATGAACCTTTCCATAACTACTACTAATATGTATCTAGCAGAAATAGGTAAACTAATAATGTTTCGTTATAAAACTGGATTGTCACCAGATATATTTCAAAACACTTTATAGGCAAAAAAATTGAGCCTAGGTTAATTGTAACCTGAATTCAATTTTGACCTGTAACATATAAGTTTGTATTTTGCGATATTGCAATATTGCAATATTGCAATATTGCAATATAATCAGGCAAAACGTGCCAGCTTATGGCTGGTTCCTTGTTGCTGATACATTAGCATGCAATAACCTTTCTCAAAATGGCATGGTGTGTACTGGTTCATTAATTTCTTTGATTCTTCATCGATGACATTTTAGGTATGAATTTGATGCAATGTTACTGAGTGAAGCTCATGAATGGAATCAGAAACGAGGTTTGTGCAAAATAATGCATATCGATACTGAATACTACAAATTTTATGATCATCAACATCATATCCATTCAAAAATTCAAAACAGCATACAGTCAACTCTCGCCATGCGGACACCCCGCTATAACGCACACCTCGATAATACGGACAGCGGCTAAATCCCGGGCAAAAATAAATTACCGATGTTTGACTGAAATAATTTCCCGCTATTACGGACTCTCACTAGTGAGGACACTAACTCGAAGTCCTTACGGTGTCCGCAATAAAGGGAGTTGACTGTAGTGGGCAGGAACACGTACCTCTCAGTATCTCTTATTTGAATAAAATCTTACCTTACGATTTCTTCCACTGACTCAAAAGATAGAACTACCTTGTGCAGCATAATAAACAGTACCACAGGGAAGTACTGCTCAGTAGCTCTCATTTCAATGATCACACTATAGGATATCATTCACAGACTCAAAAGTTAGAACCTCACCTTGTACAGTATAATAAACAGTACCTCAGGAAAGTACTGCTTAGTAGCTATTATTTGAATGGTCACGATTTCATCCACAGTGTCAAAACTTAGAACTATACCTTGTGCAGCATAATTAACGGTCCCACAGGAAAGTACCATAGGAGCTTGCGAATATGCCTGTTTATATGTAAATGTAAATGTAAATGTAAAGTACTACTCAGTAGCTTTCATTTGAATGGTCACACTGTAGGATTTCATCCACAGACTCAAAAGTCAGTTAGAACCACCTTGTACAGCATAATAGACAGTAACACAGGAAAGTTCTACTCAGTAGCTTTTATTTGAATGGTCACGCTTAAGGATTTCATCTACACCCGTGGGTTAGAACCCTCATGTAAAACACAAAAATACCAGAGGAAAATACCGTTTAGTAGCTGTCATGTGAACCACGAATCTATTTTTTTGTGTGTCCCTGAGAACTGCAGACTAACCGGTCTGTATTTCTTTCTTGTAGCAAAAAGTGCTATAGAAAAACTGACATCACCGGTGATAATAGACAACACCAACACACAGGCGTGGGAGATGAAGCCTTATGTGTCTATGGTAAGATGATAACTGAGTCGACAACACCCAATATTATCACTGGATGTTACATTTTCTTTATTGGTAGTAAGTTTTCAACTTATTGAAGTGGAACCGAAGGAGGGAAGGTTGCAGCCAGTCGGCGGCCGGCTCATTATTTTTATTTATTCGTTTATTTGTTTATTTATTGTTTATACTGTATACAGTAACATCTGTGTTAGTATACAGGGCTGTCATTACGTTTTTAAGCAGCCGTAGCAAATGAACATTCACCCGTAACATCGCACAAAAATTTATAGTGCCACCTTTAGCATTCCGCTTTGATCAACCGTAAGCTCTGAGTATACTAGTATACTATTCATAATATTTACACATGTATTTGTGTGATGCTTGCCCTTTAGGCTTTAAAGCATGGATACTTCGTTAAATTTATTGAACCGGATACCTCATGGAAAAGGAATGTAAAAGAACTTGCTAGGTATGTATGGAAAAATCGTGAGAAAAACAAACGAACAACTGTAACACAACGAGCAGACAAGACTAGAGAAACACGCTTTGATTTCGCCTTTTTTTGTGTGGGCGATGACCGTTTGGTACCTTATTACAGGTTAATCTTTCGTAGGTTCTTCTTTGCTGGTACTTACAGTTTGCTACCCTGTGAAATTTTCAATGCCGCGTTCCTAGTTGCGGGGATTTGTAGCACGGAATAATGGCTTTGTCGTTTGAAATGGATTCTCTTACGTTTTGTGACTTCTTCTATTTTCACTCGTAGACGTAATCAACATGGAGTTACCATAGAAACCATAACGAGAATGAAGGAACGGTTTGAACAAGGTCTTACTGTTGAAAAAATAATGAACTGCGAGGGAAAACCTGATCCTCATAGAACTGAGAACAATTATAAAACTCTAAAAGAGACTGGTGCTAAGAAGCAAAACTTTAGTCTCAGGGCTCCACCGACATTGCAGAAGGAAGGCTCTCTGGGCCTGGGAAAGAGTGACAGAAATACCTTTGACTACACCACGTCGGCAGAGAACACTGCTCTGACCAAAGTGGTTCACTCCTCGAAGAGTGTCGACCACCGTGAAAACGAAAAAAACAACGCCTTGGAAGGGAACGAAATTGACTTTCTAGGTGTAAGAGAGGGTAGCAAAAAAAGCGTTGAAAATTTGAACAACAGTGAAAATTCTTCAGAGGATGAGGAGGACATCAGTGCATCTAAGAATCCGCCATATGGGGATAGTAAAGACGTCCCTGATGCGGGCATTAGTCCAAAGCCACAGAGAGTCCCAAGGACCCGAGAGAGGAGATCGCCAAATGTCGAACAGCGTAACGATACCGACAACACTGCGAAATCTGACATCCGTGTTCGTGAAAATTCAGATGATGTTACTGGGGAAGAAACTGAGGCTATCAATAGTCCTCGGCCTCAGAGAGTTCCAAGGGTCCGAGAAAGGAGATCTCCAAATGTTGAACAGCGTAGCGATACCGACAACGTTATGAAATCTGACATCTGTACTCGTGAGAATTCAGATGATGTTGGTGGGGAAGAAATGCAGGCTTTCGATAGTCTGCTGCCCCAGAGACCTCCAAGGGTCCGAGAGAGGATATCGCCAAGTGATCATGATCTCGTAACCATAAGAGCACCGGAGGATCTCAGTTGTCGCGGCAGCGATGACAGGCTTCAGTTAAATAGCATTGCTAACGCAGTGAGCGATCCAGAAAAAGGCAGCGCAAGCTTGGAGCTGTCCAAAGATTCATTGTCAGCTACTGATAGACCTATCTTTTTGCCACCCTTTTTTAAGGGGGACAACGAAGACGACAGTGAAGAAGTTGCTCTGGCATCTGAAAATTCTAAGTCATCGATGCCATTCGTTGACTTTGCATTTCCATCGGACAGTTCTCCGGAGCTCTACAGCGCATTCTTGTCCAATGCTTCTTCCTTGAACTCAGGCAAATCAAACAGAGTGACAGATAAACGTCTTGGGGAAGATTTTGAAGTAAAGGGGTCTAGTGAAGAACAAGCCACTTGTAACCTGCCACCTTCTGATAAAAGCACAAGTTTGGCTCGGATGTGTTACGTCGATAAAGACGCCATGGAAGGGGCAAATATCGGGTTCAAACATCGCGAACCTACTGAGAAAAAATCAGTTGCCTTTCCCCCACCTTTGTCGACTATTTTGGCTTCTGCTTCAAAATCAAAGCAAAAAAAGCTATCAGCCTCCAGCACCAGTCAGAAACAGTCCGTAGAAGATGCAGAAAACTATAGTGAAGAAACTGACGTGAAACAACTTAAGGAACCAACTGTTTATAGACCAGAACGTGTATGTAGTGACAATGTCACCCAAGAAAACAGGTATCAACCGACAAAAGATATGTTAAGCGACGTACATAATCTGCGCCATGAGGCAGAAGACGCTTCCCCCGGGTACTCGGCGAATGATTTCTCCACTGGTGTGGAGTTTTTAAAGACCTGTTTCCCGGATATTGAAAGTGACGTTATAAGCGCGTTGTTGACGGATACAAGCGGAGACGTAATGAAGGTAGTCAATGAATTGCTGGCGGATGAAAGTGATTTAGTTTCCTTCCCTGTAGGTGAGACAGACCTTAGCACACAGCAGTCTCAGGATTCTCAAATCGTAGCTTCTCAGAATCTTCCATTGAAATCGTTGAACGGAAGTTTAAAATCAGTTAAGCCGATTGATGAATCGCATGTGGCAGGTGATCACACTCATGAAGTGAGATCCCAAAGTTCTGCTGTGCGAGAAGTGAGCGATATTCCGAGAGAAATATCGGCACAAGTGGATCAGACAAATCAACCCAGGTCCATGGAGTCAAGTCCTCTCGCTAAGACCCAGTCTTCTAGTCGGAGCACTTTTCAGCTGACACTTGAACCCGCGATAGCACTGCACCTGGTAGAGCTGTTCGGACCCTTCACTGGAGTCAACTTTCAAGGTTTGCGCACTTTTAAGTTCTCTTGTATTCACACTTTTTTTAGTGTGGGGATTGCATGGCCCGATAAGATCCGCTGTGCAAGGAACTTAAACGATATCTTTTTCCTGCTTCACAGAGGATCTGAGCCTTGAAGATCTTATCATAGACGTGGACAATACATTAGCGAAACAGTTGTACAAAAGATGGGAGAAGAGCATCCAGGTTCATTTCATGTGATACTTAAACTAAACTGCTTACTTACTAGAGTTAAAAGCGGAAACAAGAATAATTTAGGTTCCCATTTTTCGTATTTTGTTTCAGAAAAGAAAGGGGATTCCAGTTGATAAAAAAGGTAATGCATTGGTCTTTCATGCTATACAAGATTTTCAATGGTTTTGGTGATATTTTTAACTTTCTTGAGGCTTCGTAACTTTCTAGAGGTTTCGTAGGAAGTCTAAACTCCTTCCTAGTTTAAAAAGTCACCTCATTGAGACCGGCTCTTCTTGGAGAGGTTTTTGTTCTAAAGAGAATAGTAACAGAGAAAATAACTTAAGTACGGCAGGGACCAACTCAGTAGTGTCCTTTTTAGGGAGGTGCCCGTTTAGATAGTCGAAGAAGTGGCTAGTCACGATTTGACAAAAAATTGACATTTCTTTTTTAAAATGCAGAAATACAAATAGTACTTTGTGAAAGTATTGCCAAATAGGTTTCTTTTTAATGGTCGCACGTTAGGATTCTGTTCACCAACTCAAAAGTTTGACCACTTTATAAACTCCTTTATTCACTATGGGAGTAAAAAGGTTTTAAACGTCTTTTATCTACATATACGAATAGCTCCATTTTCCGTAATTTCTGTTTTATTGTCTACACTTTTTCCATAGTTAAGTCACCGCGAGCAAATAAGAAACCGGCAGATTCCAGTTCACGTTTTTTAAACGAAATCCAGTCTTCTTCGGACAGTCACCGGCCACCCCAGCAGTTACGGACTGAGCTTCAATCAGGTAATAATTGCAGCAATTATGCTTAAATTCAATCGACTGTATTTATAATGCCCATTGTCCTCTATGTTGTTCTGTCAGGTAACTTGAGGGAGATCATGGACGAACAACTTGCTCTAGAGCTGAGCAGAACTGCAAACGTAAGTACACGTAGCATTGCTTAAAAGTCATTTTCTATTAGGCGTTTCTTTTGAGAAGAAGAAAAATTTAGGTTTCTGGGAAACTACCCACCTACTCCTCACCAAAGCCAACATTAACTCTTACTTCTCCCTAAGGGCAAAATGTTGGCTCAGGGAAGGGTAGGTGGGCAGTTTCCCAGAAGCCTGAATCGACTCGAAGATATCCAGGTACTTCAAGACCAGCGTTAAAAGGAAACGGTGCCGATGAGAAGACAAGAAACCGTTTCCGTACTGCTTACTTTGAGAGTTTGTATTTTCAAATATGGCTCCAAAACGTTCTATTAAAGCGAATGAAAGTCGAAACAATATCTTTTATACCTTTTTCTCTGCTAGAAAAAGAAAAAAGAACTGTTGCGGATATATTTTTCTTTATTTATTGCTATTGTAAGGTCGCAGATGTGAATGGACAAGACATTGCCATCAACCTGAAGAGGCGGAAACTTTTTGAAATGTTTCCTGGTGTCGATCCGACGGCCTTAGAGGAAGTATTCCAAGCTAATCAGTAAGTTTGTAGTTATAAATGGTTAATTAATGACCTTTGTGATTGCAGAGCCCTTGGTTGGTAAATTCGGGTGCGCTCGAATGACTGTATTTTGGAAATAGGAATGCATGGAATAATCAGGAATTTTCGTTCGGTTGACCTACCATCTTAAAATTCTGAAATAAGCAGAATATATTCCAAACATTTTGATCCAGGGAGCCTGCCTGGAATAGAATGAAATAATGACTCCATTTTCCTCGTGTTGTGGCTTGTTTTCACAGCAACAAAGAAAATGGCGGTAAACAAACAAACAAACAAACAAACAGAACTAAACTTCTTGCGCCCATTTTCCTGCGCCTCGCCTGTATGGTTGCCATCTTTTCCCGCGCTAAGTACAAACGTTTCCCGCGCCGTGTTTCGGAGGTTAAGTGTTTCCCGCGTTGATAATACCACTCGACAACTTTCAATAGCCAGAACGGCAACAACAACTACTACTACAACAACAACAACAGTAGATGTGTTCTTTTATCTTTATAGATTTGAATTAGGCCCCTCCGTAGAAGTTGTAAAGGCGTCTTGTAATTTGTCCGGTGAGGGAATTCCTAACACGGTAGTCGCTCCTGGTTTAAGAAATAAAGAGAAGGCGAAAAGAAAGGTATAAAAATGCGTCGTGACTTGTCTTCAGAGAAATATATTGAAAATAAAAATCAGCCAAGCCAGGGTGAAACTTCGAACTACACAAAGGACAAACCCAATACACCCTTCAACGCCAGGGTTTTTCAACTTTTGACATGGACCAGTTAGGGGAAGACTTAGTTGCGGATCCAGATCTTAAGATAAGGGGCGGGGGACAGGTCCGGTCATCCAGACCCTGATATAAGAGGTGGTGGTGGCGGGGGGGGGAGGGGGGGGGTCTTAATTTTTTTTCGGCCATTCGGGGCTCAGTTTGGTCTGAAAATAAGGAGGGGGGTACCGGCCCCCCCCCCCCCCCCCCCCCCCCCCCCCGGGGCCCCCCCCCCCCCCCCTCCCCCCCCCCCGCAAAAAACCCACAAACATAAAAAAAATAGCAAAGTTAAAAGTAAAACATTCTAAAAAAGAAAAAATAAATACCCCAAAAAGGGAGAAAATTTATAAACGGTTTGTTGGACAGTCAGACCACCCCTGCCACCGGCACCTGCGCACGATACAACACTAAAACTAGAGTAAACCCGAGAAAAAGCGACAGAACGTCAAAAAAATTTTCAACTTAAAAGGTAAAATGGCTTATGGCGAGGAACATGTGGCACCGAAAAGGGGCGAACATTTTACAACGTTTTTGTGGGGGGGGGAGGGGGGGGGGGGGGCAGACCTTTCAACTCTCACGGTCTGAGCAGTCAACTCATGGTCTCACGATTTAGCTTCCAAATTTCACGTTGAATCAGAAAATTGAAAATTACTAGACAATTCCAGTAGGAATTGCGTAATTTAAAAAAAAATGTCTTCATAATAGACGATTTGTATCAATCTAATTTTTTTGGGGGAAGCCTGAGTCCAATTCCAAACTCATTCCCATAGAATGTAGGTTCGCTGAGGTTCGGTAAGGTCTGCGAAGGGGGCGGGGGAGGGCAAGTTTGTGCCCCACACCATACAAACGTCGTTTATATAATGTCTAGGCTCCTAAACTCTAATCCACACAGTCTCCAGATTCTAAAACCTCCAGTGATTATGCCAATTTTTCCCGTTTACACCAGTTTTATTCGTGTGTTTTAATTTGGTAGGAGCCTGAAGAAGACTGGAGCTGGTTATATTCAGACGGTAGGCTGTGTAAATTAACATCATATTTAACAACTATTCCTCGAGCCTGAATGGGCTCTGAGTTAATAGCCCATGAGGCCGAAGGCCGAATGGGCTATTCACTCAGAGGCCATGCGGGCGAGAGGAATAATTGTTTTAGTAAAATCCAACTAGTTGGTCAAAAATATCGAGAATAAAAAATCTTTTAGCTAGTTAAAGCTAGACTTTAATCCTTTTTTGCCGCCAAAAAGCTCGCGCTTTTCGTTACTAGTGGGCTATAACATATAGCCTAGTAGTAGCTCAACCAATCAGAACGCAGCATTGATAACAGACCACCAGCTGGATGTTACTAAAAGTTATTAGGTGCAGTCGAGCTCGATTATCCAGAATTGGTGGAACTGGGGGTAAAAAAGAACAATAGACGAGGGTCCGTTTGAATCACAATAAGACCAACAGTGACACTGACTAAAGAAGAAAACTTAGATTTAATTGTGCTCAACGTTATAAACTTCAGGGTGTAGTACCTCTTACCTGAATGGACTTCATCACTTACAACGTGTACGAGTCCTCCTTCACTTACATAATTAGGTAAAATGTTAAAGGTATTTTTTATCTCTTGAGTGAAAATAAACGCCACCCAGAAATCGTCTTTTTCAGGTTTAAACAATTTCACTCCTTAAAACTTTAAGCCCCAAGACTTACGAACATCAGTTTTCTCCTAACAACGTTAGTCCGTAAACTAGCCTGAGAAAACAGCCGACATTTCGCGACGCAGCCACTGGTTTCTCCGCGAAATGACGTCTGAGCAATGAGCGCAGAAATTCCCTTCTGAGAACGTGTTACTACCCAGATGTAGGTAGTGCTTCTGATTGGTTGAAGCAAATTTCTCACGAGGCACCACCAATCAGAAGCACTGCCCAGATCTCGGAAGTGACGGGTCATCTTAGACTATTCATAAACAAGAGAAAACTTTTGTGCTCTGTAGTATATCGATGTAGAAAAAGTTAATAGGGTTGTCTCGAGGAAGCTGTATCTTTGTTTCAGTCCTGATTTTGATGTTTATGAGTGCTGGTTTGAAACCTTTACTTGCTATGTTTGATTTCAGATTCCTCGCGGTCAGAAACGGAGTCAGGCCCGTTCCAGACCCTTGAGACGCCAAGTTATCGGGATTACCGCGCGGAAGCTTTTCAGCACTACAAGCAAAGAGACGAGTGTTTCAAGAAAGCCGCTCTGGCTTTCTCCAAGAAACAAGGACAACTGGCCCAGGTGTATGCTCAACAGGTACATGTGCATATTTGGAAAGTGGTAAAAAATCTATGCAACCAAGGAATCTTGGGGGTAGGGGTAGCCTACGTGTAACCGCACCCTCCCCCCTCCCGTCAAAGGAAGAAAAGGAGAGAGGGAGCGTTTACGAAAGGCTGGCACGAATCGTGTTATGTGACGTCACTCCTAATTTATGCAATTTACACAAATACTTTTATTTTATGCGAAGGAGGCGGGTCTCTGTTTTTCTTTTGTCGGTTGGGAGGTTGCGGCTACTTGTAGGCTTGGGTGGGGGCCTTGTGTTTTCTGTTATTGCTCGCTCAGTTGAGTTTGCGGTTTACACTTACTGAATGTAGCTAATGACTATAATTTTTATTTTTAATCCACCTTTGTATTTCAGGGCCACATGCACACAGAGAAAATGAAAGAAGCCAATGCAAGAGCTGCGGCACTTATCTTGGAACAAACGTAAGAGTAACCAAGAGTTCTTTTTCATTCTTATTGGCTGTTAACCGCCAATATAATTCTGATAGTTTGCAGAGCTGCATTGGAAGGATTCAGCTCATGATTTCGAATCAGTTTAAGCATTTTCACATATCGCCATTCGTGTCTTTTTCCGTTGCCTAACATAACATTTTGCCACGTTTTCTATGTTGTGTACTTGAAGTTCTCCGGCGCTTACTATACACGTGCGTGACGTTTTCCCATTCGTGCTCTTTGTGTTACTGGTTTTCCCTTGTTACTTTATGATTGCATTTGCACTTTCTTGGTCACAATTTTTAACGAACTTAACATCGCTTACAATTTCCATAACGCTTTCCTCATTTTGAAATGATGCAAACCTTTTTAGGAACAAGTATTCGGACGAGAACACCATTGATTTGCATGGCCTACACGTTACAGAAGCCGTAGAAGCTCTGGAAAACATGTTGAGTGAAAGGAAAGGTACTGAAATTAAAAACCAAACGCTGATTTTTGCCCCCGCAGCTAAGCGAAATCGCGAGGGAGCATCCTAGTAGCTCGCGCGTATAAATAGGAAAGTACTTAACAGCTGAATTATGCAGTCGGTATACCAGAAAAACCTCGATTTGTTAAAAACAGAGACTGCACGGAATCGTTGGATAATGATGACGTTTCAAGTATGAAATGGTTAGGATGACCTTAAACAGAAAATACCCGAAGGGACCGCTTTGGTTGATTTTTTTGACACTTATTGTACAGTCCTAGTTCGATACTCGTTTGTGTTACGTGTGTTCAGTGACATTTTGTGGAGCAGCTGTTTTGAAACATGCGGACCCAAAGACACTCGTTAAGCGTGTTAAACGTGGGTGAAGGTATAAGGGGCGTATAACTGTATATAAGGACTTGGAGGCTTGCCAGACACAAGTTTTTCATTCACAAACCTTTGATTGGAAATAATCGCTTTGATTATCAGATCACTATCGAGGTCAAGTCGTGTTTCGCAAAAGTTCCGCCTTGGAATTTAAAGGTGTGGGAAAAAAGATAGTTTTTTTTGTTGTTTCAGAAAAAGGCTGTAAGGCAATTTCTGTGATAACTGGACGAGGAAATAACAGTCGTGGTGGAAAAGCTCGTATAAAGCCTGCCATCTTGGAATACCTTAAGAAAAATAACTACAAGTAAGTAAACATGTTTTATAGACCGGCTGTTGTCGTATTTATCATTATGAGCCCTGGTGGATACTTCGTTCGCGCGCTCTGTAATCTGCATGAGGCGTATTTATTACAACCTGATTACAACTTACAAGAATACAATGACATACAAACACAACAGAAAGTAAAGAGAAATGCCACAAGGATGGTCTGCAAAAGCGTCAAAGACTACAGACAGAGCACCAAACTATAGAAGAGGTAGAAATAGCAAGATAACGATAGAAACAATTCTAAGTGGAAGTATTGGATATAACAAATGCTCAAAAGTAAAACATCTTAAATTATATTAAGGTTTGCAATAAATCTGTTAATTCAATTTATCTCATTAGAATTTTTTTTCGAGAAGTTCGTCACGCCATGCTTGGAACTTGACGTACTAAACGCTGTCCTAACTTCATATGAAAGATAACTATCCGAAAGTTCGTTGCGGCTTAAAAAACGTTTTCAGTTCTACCTGTTTTTCGTTTACTTGCGAGATAATTAGTTTCACTTCACTCTTGATCAAACATGTAACCTGTACAGTATGTTGTTGATTCTCTCAGTGAAATCCGTTGCGTCAACATGCACAGGAAAGCGCATTGTGCCCATTTCAGATGTTGAATTTTTTTTTTTGTCATAGGTCGCATTATTCCTTAAGCTTATTATTTCTTGGGTCGAATTTTTCCTTGAGCTTCAATGACCTAAATCCCTTAGTGTTTTGATTTGGGGTGGATCAGTCCTTGTTGCCACCTGACTGAGCCGGATCTTTTGACTTCGGAACAGCTTTGATACAGACGCGGAACTTTTCATGTGCCGAACCTAATGCGTAAGTGATTTTACCATGTTTGGTAACTTTGTTATGTTTAGCCAACATGTATCAGTTCTAAATTTATGGGCGTTCGGCCTTAATTCAAATTACGTCCGGTTCACGAAAAGCTCCGCTTCTGAAACGGGCTTTAGAAATACGAGATATGCTTTGACATTGATTTACAAGAAACCAAACAAACGTTTTAAAGAAATATATCACCCGTAAACAAATTAACTTCCTTTTTAATAGCTTTTTACTAATGCCTTCTTCTTTTATCCTTGCTTTCCATAGTTATACTGAGCCACACCCTGGTCTGGTAAAAGTTATTCTTTAACTTGGCAATTTCTCGTCGGTTTATGGTCATCTCGCCACCAAGAAGTCGACTTGCCACCACCGAATAACTCTGAAATAATTGACACAGTTTTAATACCTACGATTACTTACCTAAGATTTTTACTTTTTCGTCAAGCTTATTTGAATTAAAAATCGACCAAAATACAAATCTGTCGATCCTAATTGACGAATCTTGCGTCGAACGTCGTTTGCTCTTGATAATGCATATAGTAATAATACCTGCATAGGTTCTATGAATGTGAACTTTGACTTTTGAGAGATTAAGAAACTGGCAGGAACGTGCACAACCACTAGTCAGTTCTTTGAAATATGAAAATAAAATAACAGTTAAGAAATTTCCGTGGAGGTTCAAAAAAGTGCTAAGCTAAGTTCTATTCCTGGTGGCGAGATGATATAATGGCGAGGTGACCAGAGACCTTCTCGTCTGTTACCAAGAGTGTTTTCTCGGGTCACCGTAAGTTCTTCTTAAAACTCGTGATCAGTAGAATTTAAATTATCCGGCTTTCCGGCTGTAAAAGTTGTTCTTAAATTAAATCTTTTAATTTAGAATTAACCCAAGTTTTTTACTTTTTGGCTGGACAAACCCCAAAATAAGTTATTTCATGAATCATTTTTTGATATAGAATTTTTCTGATTTGGTTCACCCGGCTTGCCGGAGTGCAATCTGTGTGCAACAATTATTCTTAAAATTAATATGAATTTTCCTTTTTAACGTTTTACCCGTCTGGCCGGCGAGTAGTTTAACTTTTTAGTACGATCAGTTTGCATGGACTATCCACAATTATTTCAATATTTGAAGAATACGGAAACCTTACATATATACATGTATACAGTGTATAGACAATGAGAGAATTGTATTATGTACATTTGTACAGTTATGTGTTTCGTAACGAAATGTAACGCCTATAGTCAGTTTAAAACTAATTAAAAAGTGCGTATTCTGTATACCACCAGGAGCATTGTAGTTCGTTAATGGTTTATCTCCGTGTTTTGAAATGAGAAAAGCACTGAGTGTAATCCAATCTACGCCATTTAGGGATATATTAACACTGTACCGAAAAGCTTTTCGTGCCCACAAAAACGCGATCCAGTATCGTTTGAACACCTATCCGATATTTGACTCTCCACTTTAGAGATCGGCGCTCCGTTACAGAAATCGCGCCAAAATCTCCGTTCTCATGTGTGAACAGAAACCCTATCCGTTATGGTTGTCGTGCCGGCCAGTATACTGTGAACATAACCTTAAACTGAACTCAAATTTCAACTCTTAAACTTATTCCTCTTGTTCCTTTTAAGTAGTATGAACGATTCTTAACTTTTGATTCTGTGCATGACCGAAATCGCTCAAGTGTGAGAAATCAAATGAAAGCTACTGAGCTTTTCTTTTCTGTGTTATTGTTTATTATGCTGTACATGGTGGTTCTACATTTTAGGTCTGTGGGCGAAATCGTTAAGTGTGGCCATTGACTGCATGAAACCTAACTTAACCGCGATTTTCCTGAGGTTTTCTTTATTGTGCCGTACAAGTTGATTTAAACTGGGCTTCACTTCTCTCCTGTTGTGGTGTTTTGTCATGCTGTCCTAGTAGGTTCCAACTTATAGTCCTACATTCCGAATTTTAATTTCAAAGAGAAAACTACTGACTAGTACTTTCCTGTGGTACTGATTGCTATGCTGTATAATTTGGTTCTAACCTTGAGTCTTTGGATGAAATTCTAAAGTGTGACCATTGAAATGAATGCTACTGAGGAGTTCTTTCCCGTGGTACAGTTTATTATGATCTACAAAGTGGTTCTAACTTTCAAGTCTATGGATGAAATCCTTAACTGTGACTATTCAAAGGAAAGCCGCTGAGCAGTACTTTACTGTGGTGCTGTTTATAATGCTGCAAAAGGTGTTTGTTACTTTTCTTTTGAGTCTGTGGATTAAATCCAGTGTTGTGCTCGTTCAAATGAAAACTACTGACGAGAAGTCAGTGACGCGCCAAGTCAGTCAGTGTGTAGTATGTCGTACAAGGTACGTGTATTTCTGATCTGTAAGCTCAGGTAAAACCATGAAAGCCAAAAAGAACTACTTTTTTGTAGTAATATCAGTTGCCATTCTTATAAGGGCCGGTTTCATTAATCCTAAGGGATAATGAGAAGGACATTTTTTTTTGTTCACAAGGATTTTAAAGAAATATTTACAATATCACTTTCAGGAAGCGTGCACTTTTATTAGTAGTCGCTTCATTTTTTTCCCTTTTCTATTTTGATCCTGGTCTTTCCTGATTGACAAAATTCTCAAAAAACGTAATTCTCAAAAAACAAAATTCGCTTGAAACAACTTATGCTTTTTCTACATCCTCATCGCGGTAAAAATCTCCCTCCGTGTTTCGTACTGTAACGGGCTCGTAAACTGCTCCTTAAGGTGATTGGCTGCGTAGGAGTTTGCGACTTTTCCGAGCGGATGAACAGATAAGAGCGTGGGATGTTTAATCTAAGCAAAAACTACTAAAACTTCCAGTTCCTTTACGTTGGGTCCGGTTTACGCCACGCTATTACGCACAACCATGTTCACGCTGTGCTTGTTTTATACTGTAAGAATTAATATCAAAAAACCTACCGCGATTTTTACTGAGCAATAATCAAAACAACTGACACGCTACTAAAAAACCGTAAACATCCCGCAGAGGATGTAGTGTGGCTGGAAACCAATAGATTTTGTATACACATGTTGTATATCAACACTAGAGAAGTCCTATAAAATGTTCCGTGATTGTTATAGACTGAAATATTTATTTTTATCAGTCCGATTGACGTAACTGAGGTCGTTTCCGACATATTTTTATTGGACCGATTGACGTAACCGAAGTCGTTTTCGACATCCCACTTTCCCTCAATTTTTTCACCGACGTAGAAAGTTTTTAAATATATTTTTTAAATTTCCGTTGATTTCAGTCTTTTTTGTTCTATCCCAATGGGTCATTCAGATTAAATTTGAAAATTACATCTTTATCACAAAGATCTTTGAAATAGAAATGCAGTTAAATACCGAAAAACAAGTTTCAAGCTAAGATGTCTATTTTGGGTCTCAATTTGATTTACCAAAGTTTTGGAGAATTCAAGAAATCAGTTGTTGTTTTATTGGTTGAAGTATACATTCACCATTTTGGGGTATTCAATTCTGCAGAATTTAAAAATAAATGAACATTTTGCATGTCTCTGTTGAAAGTGGGAATAGGTTCAAGCTGAAGAGCAACCGGAATCTTAGCGGTTTCGAGCGGCTTCATTGATTAATGCGGGGTTAGTGTCATCTGTTCTAATCCTAGAGTTTAAGAAATCACAAGAACTTAAAACCCAACTACTGCTAAGAAAATAAGAGGTCTTTTTAATCGTCCCGCCAAAATATTTTGTCCTTTGGCTTAAAAGTTAGCACTGAACTACACATAACATCACAAGTAAAGGAACAAACGATTGTTTCTACATCCTAAACATATGAAAGAAATTTAGCTAATTATCCTGTTTCTTGTGATGTCCCTGTGCCATTTCATCGCCATTTTATGGGTTTTAGTGTAACCGGCCTCTGAAACAGGTTTGGGCCGGTAAAATACTTAAAATAGTCATAAATCGGCTTAGAGACTACACAAGAAAAACGAAATATAAAGCTCAAGTTTGGTAAGCCGATTTTTATTTAAAACTCTTTCATATTTTTAGGTTTAAGAAACAATTAATTTCCTTTTCAAAGGTTACGCAAGAGTGCCGACGGTTCATATTTGGAGTTTCGGTTACTTGTGGTTGCACGTCTATGTTGTAGTTAATCCTTATAGTTGGTTTAAATTTATTTTCCTTTGTTTCAAACTCATTATCTTGAATTACCTTTCCCAAACACAAAGAAAAATAGATTTTAAACAGAGATGAAGTTGAACCACAACATACACCTTGTAAACTATTAAAATGGGAGGTTCAAACTTTCATCATTTAAGTGAAATGTAATCGTTAAGTCGTCAAAATTGATGAAATCTCAAAAGCAAAAAGTTGACCTAGGCAAGCGAAGTCAAGTCAAGTCAAGTTTATTGTGTATATACGGACATACCACCACCTAGTTTACAGGTATTACACATGAAAGTAAGAATTAATAATAATAATAATAATAATAATAATAATAATAATAATAATAATAATAATAATAATAATAATAATAATAATAATAATAATAATAATAACAGTAAGAACTAACTGAAATGATATAATGTATGCGGGTATTCGCCTCCTACGAGGAGAAGTGGCGCACAGGAGATAATTTTCTTTGCAGTGCATAGCGGATTTCACTTGCTCTGTGTTACTCCCAATTTAAAAAAAAGGGGCAGGGGGAGGACTACAACAAGACGTTTTGTGGCTTTCTGAACAACGTAATAGATAGGTGTATTTTAGAGGATGTTTGATTGTGTATGCTATATGGGTGAAACTTGTAAACTCTTTTTATGTTACAAGAACACAGCCCGATATACAATCTTAACAGCTTCCTTTCCTTTACCTGTCACTACACTGCTCACAGTCAGTAATTATGGCTATTCAATTGCATACACGTTTTAGTTATTGATTACACGGGTTTTTTTGTCTAACGGCCGCCATTGTTGTTTGAAAAGAAGCTTAGAATCAAGGTCCTTTTCATTCCGTGCTGAGTACAAGAAAGGAAACAAAGTCTCTTTATACAACGACGTTTTTTAGACGGGCCTTTTTTCTCGGCAAGTTGAACGAGTCACCTAGTGTAGGCATGTTTTCTCCGGCTATCTCGTTGGTATGATTCGTTTTAGACAATAGAGCCATTTATACGAGGAAAAATAATACGCGTCTTAAGTAAGACAGGTCTTATTTTTCCTCGTATAAATGGCTCTAATGTAACAAATTCATCAGTTGATTTGCACTGCTAATGATGCAACTTAACTGCTGATTAAAAGCCTCGTATTTTCGTCCAAAAGGAAAGTCCTTGCAAGAATAATAGACTTTTGCTTTGGGATAAGTGAATTTTCGTGTCGATGCATGGAAAACTATCGGTACCTGGTCAAACCCGACTCCGCGTCTTTCAAAAAGTGATCTCTAGTATGTGCGTCAGAAAATGTTTTGCACTGGTAAAAGTAATAAGTAGAAATATAAATTTTTTTTATCTTGGCTACGACATAAGTGAACATTTATCACTGACAGTAAAAAATGGAGAAAAAGAAAGGATAAAATGCAGAACTTTAAAAACTTAGACTAAAATACCGCGTATAATATTACAGATTCAAATCTCTCTTTGTGCTTTAGAAGAAGTGATCAGAGGACGAACTCATTTACTTATCAGTGAAATAACTTTCCGGAAATCTACCTCTACTTGTCTTCAGTCGCAGGAGCCTTTAGTTTCACGATGAAAAAAGTGAAAATCTCACCCATATTGGAACATTCTAATCTTGTGTTGTTCAATGAATGAGTTTACTATGATTAAGTCTTTTCCTTTTTTATGGCTTGACAAAAGACCGCCGTTATAGCTCGGCGTTCTCGACTTAAGATTTGAAATACTGGGTGTGGTTTCTTCTAAAACTTTTAACATATTGTTTTATAGTTTATCGTGGAACGCTTTGTTTTGACCTTTAAATTTATATTTTAGTCTCATGTACGCGAACATCGATCGAGCAAGTTTCTCCGCGAAGTATTGTGACAGACAGTGTATTGATGCGAACTAGTTTTGTTAACTTGAAAAAAATTAACGAGACAGATACACAGGAACAAGTTCTTTTCCTGTCAAGTAAAATAACTTTCGTTGTAAATACAAAAGTGTAGGGCCTAACGTGAAAGTGACGCGTTTCACACAACGTGGTTTAATAGCGTGCTGAGGCCCTCAATATAATCATCACAATCAGAGTTGACGCTTGATTACGTTTCAACAATTCCTGTTGATTAACTCACGGAAGGAAGCTTTAGGTGCCTCGCATCGTTTTGATGCTGATTTTCCTTCCTCTCTGGTTTTGTGGTAAGTATGAATACGTTTTGCAAATTTAATTAGCTATCAACACTGCTGCGCCCGCTTGTTAAATAAATCCTGTTCCAAATAAATTTAACTACTCTTTGTTGAAATTGTAACACCTCAGCCATAAGAATATCCTGAATATCCTGGAAGGCGATTTTGTAGGCACGTAGCAAGGATATCTTAGCTTCTACTCGTACGCTGAATCGAACGGTTAAACGGTGTTCTAATATTCGATTTCTTGAGTGATACGCTAATGATAACAGACGTATGTTTTGAACACAACAGCACTCAAATATTCACCTCCCTGTAAAGTTATTTTGTCTTCTTTGAGTTTACTTGCGTTATCGATGATAAAGACTGGTAACTACAGTCAGAGTTGATGAAAGAAATTCAGGACACTAATTTATGGGTTGCGGGCCGTTCGATGAACATAACTGGAACGAATCTAAAAATTTTCACGATGTTTCAATGCAAAGCCAGTTACTGTTTATAACACCGCTGCGGACTCTAAAAATCTTTCACTCGATGCTTTATTTCTCCGCCTACTTGTTAATCCATTGTTTAGATTTTCTAGTTCTTGTTACCTTATTCCCGTGATTAGATTGTTGTGATTGTCTGTTAGAATTTCCTGTGTAGTCATTAGCAATAGGCACTCCGCCTCCTCGTTGCCTTCTGATTGTACCTTTCCTTTAGAACAGGAGATCGTTAGGGGCTGGAATGCGTTCTTGTAGGTGTCAATAGCATGATTCATAGCCTGCTAGGGTGTGAAAAGCGCCCAATTATCTATGCTACCCAGTCCACAATACGCTACAGCGGGCAAGCCAATCTCATTCATACAAAACAATGAAGCTGATCTTAATGTTTTCCAAACGGAAGCGACTACCGCTGCGGTTTTTTAAGCCCTTGTTGTATATCTTCCTCAAGAAGTCCCTAAGAACGTATATATTCTGCTTGGAAAGCTCGTATCACTTACATTCCCCCTGGACGTACGACGGAACAACAAGTATACCGTCAGTAAATATGGTGTGCTAAAAAAACGCGATTGAAAGATCATTTGTCACGTCGAGCTGTCAAGAGACTTTTGAAAACTTTACACTTTAAAGTGACTGTGAATGTGATTTGCATGTTCTTGTAAAGGTACTTCAACACGTCCTCGTATAATTTTTTGGTCGTGAGTTCAAGCTGAAGGATCGCACAGATCTTGGTGACACCGATTCTATAACTTTTTTGAGACGTTATACCCAGGTATGTGCTCTCAGTTTACAACGTGTAAAATTGTGTCTTTTCCCTCGTTCTCGGCTTAACAGTCAAATATCATCAATTTTTAAATGCACGTTGCTGCTGCCGAGAAACACACATTCCTTTGATATTGGAGTTGTGTAGAGTTGTGCATATAACAGGGTTAATTCTTCACTTCATCTCATTCTCTTCAGATCCTCTCGCTGTAAAGAAATCATGTCATACTCCAACGCGTGGCGTCTTCTCGCTGCGATCGTTTTCATTTTGTCAAAATTATCACTGCCCCTGGCAAATCGACACAAGTTCAGTGGCAACGTGGATTCAACTGATAACTCTGCCCCATCCAGAAGCGCAGGGTCTGTGAAGGCTTCCTTCTGCAAAAACCGTGTACGACCGACACTACCTCCCAGTCCGCGGCTACCCATCTCGCTGTGGTCTATGCGCGCCCAAATGTATCTGCAGATTCTTCCTGATGGCAAGATCAATGGAACTTTACAGTTTAATAAATACGGTAAGAGCCCTTCCTTTCCGATGTAATCTACACTTTCCTCAAGTAATATGTGATGCTTTGCACATTGATTTTTCTTCGGTCCATCAACTTTTTTATTCAAGTGAATAATTACTGACTTTGAAGCGCAAAACAGAATTCAAGAACGCGAGTGTTTTCTGAAAATTTTTTTTCGTGAAACGAAACGCATGGTTTTTTGTGCTTAAGTTTCTTACATGGATTGTATTAATCTCATAAGCACGGTTATTATGAAATACTTTGTGTTTCTGTTTATTTTTTCCTTTCTTTTTTTGCATGCTTCAGTATGCTTTTATCGTGTTTATATGTTTAACGTTGAGCAACACTAAACGGCATCAAGTTTGAAATGAAAGCAAACCCAACATTGAAGTTCATACGCAAGAATCTCAGCGGGTCTCCCAGCGGGACTCACAGCGGGACTCCCAGCGGGTGGTCTCTTCCCACTCAGCAAGAAATTGTCAAATGGAAACAAGAGCTCCCTTACGAAGCTAATTTACGCGTGTTGTTCTTTTTTCACGCGGAAGACCTGGTTTGTTTTCCGTCCCGAGAACCAAAGGTGATGAATAGAATATACCATTACAGCTTTCACTGTAAAGAAAAAAACAGTTGAAAAGTCAGTCCACGTCTTTAATAGATCATCAACAAGCTTTAAGCTGTGAAAACAAACAGATATTTGTCAGCTTTCCGCATCAACTGCAATGTTCCTTAAGTCTCGGTGTCTTTGTTATTGAGTTTTGTCAATGTTGGTTACAAGCAAACAATTTCGTCAGCTAATGACGCATATTGCACCGAGGAGGAATTTACGTCTTAGAGCTCACTTCCGTCAAGAAATGAGATTTAACCAAGTATTTACTCAGCTTTACATTTTATCCTTTTAACTTAAAGACAACTATTAGATTACAATACCAATTGCTATCTGGGGAGGCACGCATTGAAAGTTGTTTTCCCACAAAGGTCAGTTAAAAGTCAATTGTTTTTCCTGTTGACAACCCTATGTTAGACTGTGAATACGAATCTTATCACATGTAGATTCTACTTTGTTTAGTTTTAAAGTAGCGCTATCTTTGTTACCCGGGAGGTACCACCGAAATGTCGGTCCTTAAACCGCAACTTTTAAAGAATGATCCGAAAGAATAACCGCTAGGGTAAATATTAAAATTGGATTAAAGCGATTCTGAGCCCAATATTCAAGTATCACTTCCAAGGATATCAATTAAAAATAGTATGTTGAGACGCTCTTTTCTTACTTCAAACAAATCTACCAGTTTGCATTTTCTCCTTAACGAGATACAAAATAGGACAGCCAAAAATGACGGGAGAGATCAAAGGTCCTGTTTACAACAACACGCTTTTAGTAATCGAAAAGTATTCAAGGCTATAAAATATCGATTGGCACGTGCTTACGTGATTTCCTAATTGGATTTGGGTATTTCGTATTGCCACAATATTGAGAAACACTTACCCTCATGCATGTAGGCTTATCAGTAATACCTTTTAGCCTTAACAACAGGTCTGTCCAAGGTAACTGATTACAAAAAAAGACTTAAAGCGATCGCTTACTTGTAGATGATAAATTATCAAGATTTTAACCACAGTCAGGGAATGTTAAAACTGTTTCCCCAAAATAAAAAGTTCGTCTCGGTTCACTGGATTACTTATTGGTAATTTAGGCTTGGTCAGATTTTAATCAGAAAACAATAAGCTGTCGACCACAGTCGTATGTAACTTGCCTCAGTTCGATTCATGTATAAAACGATACAGAAAAACTCGTCGCAAACGATATGCACGACATGAGGCTTCAAATTTACTATACACTATTTTCGTTTCTTATTCATTTGGAATTGAAAAGATAAATACGTTCATACACTTCTGTATTCCCGAATTTAGACCAATAAGGTCAAGCCTATTTATACCCGCTTTCAGACCAAAACGGTGTAAAACCCATCCCCTTCGTGGCGGCCCGTACCTATAAAACAAATATGAGGGAAGAACCTCCCGGGATCCTTCCTGTTACATGCGTCAACTCATAAAATGTCGTGACCTGAATATCCTGAATGTTAATCAGTACTTCAAAATGAGGGTTTTATCTAAACGCAGATAAGGAAATGGTGAAGATAACTCGAGGATGGTTTTATGTCTAAGTTAATATCCGTCACTCAGATTGGATCTTATTGCAAGTTCAAGTTTGAGTACCTACTCACGAAGTACATGCGTGGAAAAAATGTAACTCTCCAAGATCCGCGACTAATCAAATGATACGTCTGTTTTGGAATGAAAGGTCGATGCAAGCGATTACAATGTACTACCGATGGCTTAAAATCGCGAATAGCGCACTTTTTTTTTGTAGATTGTAAGACCTTTATCGAGTAGTAAACACTTGTCGGATTGTACCAGTACTTTATTTTATCTTACCCGATAAAAATCAATTGAGAGATAACGTTGACCGTTTTCCTGTGTCCTGCTGTCTAATATAATTTGCTTTCTTAAATTTAATATTTTGGGAGGGAGTGAAGAGGAGAAGACTGCGTTTTTTAAATTATTGCGTCTTAAAATGTGGCAGTGATTTGCATCATTTACGGGGTTTCTTAGGAAAATCGATGAAGGGAGGACTTAACCCTTTAATACCTAAGAGTGATCAGCATCAAATTTCGCCTTGTAATATTATTGCTTTGTAAAACAGGGTGGTCATGAGAATTACGGACATGATCACACAAGACGAATTTGCTTGATGTTTTATCAACTTCTCCCCACTACTTCTGTAGGAAATGAATAGGGGTAACAAATGAGAATTCAAATTTTGATGTAAGGGTTTAAAGGGTTAAACAATTCTCCTATTTTTACCCCGTTATCCAACAGGACTAGTTTTAATTTATAGTGAACACTTCAATGAAAGCTTTGGTTTTGTATAGCGCGCTTTGATTGGCCGTAGGCACTAGGCTGTAGTGCTAAAAGTGGCGGGGTGGCAGGTTAAGAGGCATGGGTGTCGACTTTGAAGTCGTTCAGAACATTGGTCTACCTAGGATGTAGTATGATGATGATGATGATGAAAATGGAAAATAGACGGTCTGCCTCACTAACCTGCGAAATGGGGTCCTTCGATCTCTGAAAAAGCCTAATCGCAGTTGAGGTTTCAAGGGACATATTATACACCCCCTGCCCTTTGCCATGAATTTTGAGTACATGCAACCCGGTCCATCCCCGAGGATAGCGGTACATGGCACCAGTGGCGGATCGAGACCTTAAAGATGGGGCTGGGCGGTAGGAACATTCTCTTGAGCATGGTCTTCCCGAAACAAAGTATCGCGACACCTTGGCCTTACGGGACTCGCTTTCAGTAAAAGAAAGGGGGAACCTTTGCCATTAGCCTAGATCAGCATCTGCGCAGGAATAACTTTGCTTTAAGTAGGTTCTATTTCTGTGCTGACTTTTTGTTTCGTGTGTATGTGTTTTTTTACTTTAGCCAAGTTGAATATCGAGACTGTTACCACGGGAGCTTGTGCGGCGCGCATCAAAGGAGTCGAGAGTCAGCGGTATCTCGTCATGCAACCAAACGGTACTCTCACTAGTCAGGTATGCATCTAGTCCACAGATTTTTTTCTTAATTCAGTGGTCCCTCAGCAGGTTGAATTGTCAAGTATTTTTGCCATTGTTTTGGTTTTCCAAGGCAAAGCTCTGTGATTGGCTACAAAATGTGACCTCGCCTTTTTGACCAATCAAAAATAAAACTAAAATTAAGCACGCGTTCTCCTTCGCTTGACATCAGCTGCATATTTCCCTCGAGTTTTGATGGGTCAATTCGAGTATCAGTTAACTACGTCTGTTGGGACTGGTCAGAGCAGTTTGTTTGTTACCTATTGCGATACTAATCTGCAAACAAGCTGTTCATTTGGGGATATCTCTCTTATCTAAAGAGAATCAAAATAATCTTCCTGACCCCGGTTCCTCGAAAGATTGTTTTGGTTTAAACCAGCGTTAAGAGAAATTTTAACCAAAGTTTTCTCGTCGAGAAACATGTAATTGGATCTTAATTCGGTGAAACAGGCAACAAAAACATGCAACTTGTCTTGCAATATTGCTGCAAAACGAATTGAATAGCGATGTTGCGCGTTTGACCACTCACGTTCAAACCTGTTAACAACTTGATCAGTGTGTTGCAAGAAAGGTTTGATGTGGGTGGTAAAACGCGCAACATCGCTATTCAATTCGTTTTGCAGGAATGTTGCAAGACAAGTTGCATGTTTTTTCGTCCGTTTTACCGTGCGTTTACAAAATGTTGTTGGACTTTAACTCCCAGATCCACTTAAGAAAAAACAAAATTCTACTCTTAATGATAAATAGTAAGGTAAATGGATTTATATTAAGCACTAAAACTTTTAATCCTGTATTAGCGCGCGCTTGTCGGTCTTTCAGCTATCGAGCCCTGAATCTTAAATCGATATGCACTTCAAGTCCAACCGCTAATCCGTAAACCTTAAGTCTTGAATTGAGTTCTAGAATTAATCAATAATTTTGAAGTGCATTTGCCTGTATTTTACGAAACTGACCCTAGTCGGGAACGCCCCTGACTAATAAGCAGGCCATTTAGATTAAGTCAGTAAATTTGTAAGTGAGAGGAAACTTCTGGAAATCCCTTTTTTCCGTGTTGTTAAATAAGATTATTGTTTCCACCCATTACTTAATTAAGGATCTGAGCCGATCCAAATATATTTTGCATTTTTCGTATTCTGTTTGGCACTCTAATCTGGGCCGGGCTGTTCAAAGCAGGGTTAAGTTAACCCAGGATTAGTGCGAAATTTAATTTCAGAAATGAAAGCTTGAGAAGCAAATTAAGTTTAATTCATTTTGTCTACAATTTGATGATTGCATGCTCTAAAAAGAATACAGTACATTATCCGAGAAAATACTTTCGAACAAAATAAAACGAAAGCCAGATTAAAATTTAACCCCGGGATAGCGCTAATCGACCTTCGAACAACTGAACTCTGAGTTCTATTAAATGGAACTCAAGTGGCAGCCTGAGGTTCCCGGTGGGGTACTAAAGAAATGTTTATACGGAGAGGCTCTGCACCGAGGTCCAACCCCTTACCCCTTTAAATACCATTTTTCACGAAAAAAAGTACCCCTTTCTTATACCCTCTATTGACAAATGGTACCCCTTTCGCATGCCTTGTTTAGAACTTTACATCCCTTTTAACTGCTGTAAATGCACTAACTTTTAAATAGGAATCAATCACAAAAATAGAACATTTTCTCGACTTTATAAGGCCACAAAATTTTTTTAGCTGGTCGATAATTCATCCAGTGCCGTGTGAAATTAACGTAGCCTGGGGTGGATTTAGCATACCCTTTTGATTTAGAGCAACTACTTTCATAGTCAGGGAGACCTTTAGGGCCAGTTATTTAAATGTAGTTTAGCCAGTGTTTAACAAAACCGCGTTCTAAGCCATTTTCAATTTGCCCAACGGTTCTGTCTAAACGCCATTTATTGTGAACAGTTTTATAAAAGCATACAGAGTAGACAAGAAAAGTATTTACTTCTTAAAGTAACCCACTAAGGAAGAGATCTTGAGGTCCAAAGACTTGTTAAACCGCGGCTTAGGTTAGACTTCGTTTGAACTATCGACCCTTAGATTCTAGGATGAGAGCGACTTCGAGAACGAGATTTTCTCAACACTGCGTATTGCTCGCGGGTGAAGCAGCGTCATTTTAGCGGGAAAACGTGATAGCCGTCGTCATTCGTCGTCGTTATCCATGCTACTACGAGTTTTAGCGAGAATGTCGCAGTGCTGAAACTAGTTATCAAATGGTAGAAGTTTTATCATTTTGCGATCAGGAGAAGGCTTAACTTCCTTTTATAAAGATAACAGTGTCAACTTTTTTGGTGACTCAAAAGTACAATAAGGCTTTGTCGTCCTCTTATCTAAAGCTCACTATTTTACTAAGAATAACTGTTTTCTTTTCTTTAGACCCAACCCGACGAGAAAGGATCCACGTTCAACGTCCAGCTACAAGGAGACTTTTTCGCATTTGAAAACAGGAACTATTTCATTGCGCTCAAATATGAAGGCACATTAAGGAAGATCATGGCAAACAGGAATGGAACAAGCACTCGGAAAAGCACCAAGTTCATGCTTATACCACCGCCAGGGTCAAGAAAACGAAGACATCCGTCGGACTTCGGGTTCAGACGAATGGTGACTAAAAGTGACTATAGATAGTTTTTCAGTGATCTATGTCGTCGCTGTTTTTTTTTTCTTTCATTGAAAAGTGTCGCGCTCAGTGTTAATTTGCCATTTCAGTAAGTTGGTTTTGTGCATAAATCCCTAAAAAAAGTTATTATAAGCTGACATTATCGGGAAACAGAAAATGGCCGGCTGCTTACAGCCTGACTCTTAACAGTGAGTTCAAGCGAGTCTTTGTCCTTAGCAGAGATGTTAGCCCACGTTATTAGAGAGCTTAAGCAGCGACGACGACGGTGAATTCACGCTGTCTCAAAATTCATCGCTCTTATTCCATGTCGTTTAATTGGTCAATTACGTTGGTGAATTTTTCTATAGTTGAATTCCAAAGGACTGTATCTAAGTTAAAAAAAAAAAAAATAGAAAATCTTTGTCTTGTGTTTCACGCTCTCCACAAAACGAAAAATTAGGCAGTTTCACGTTGTGCTTGTGCAACGACGGCAAAGGGAAAGAAAGGTACAAAACAGCGTGATGCACGTGCAAAGTTTTTTTTTTTATCCAACCCGTTTGCCTTTTTGTCGTTCTCGTTGCCGTCCGCCGTCGTCGTTGCCTGAGCCCCCTAAGCTTGGTGACAGTGCGTGCGCGAAGCGGCTTATTTTTGTTCTCTCGCATTTTTAGCGACCACAACGCTGCTGCCGAGTCTTTTCTCTTTACTGCAAGCCGCGTAAGCTTCAGAGCTGCCGGCCGATTAGAATATTTTGATCACGTCCGGACTTTTGAGCACTGCTTTAGTATTAGGGTATCTTTTTCATTCCCGGAGGTGGTTAAAGTAATCATTCCTTGTTGTAAAATACTGAGAAACAAATGATACAGTGCAAAAATACAGGTAAAGAGGTTTCATTTGGTCACATCATAGGATTACATCCATATACTCAAAAGTTAGAACTAAGTTCTACGGCATAACAAATAGTATCACTGGAAATTACTACTAAGTGCCTATCATCTGAATGGTCACATCTAGGGGTTTCATCCACAGAATCAAAGTTAAAACCACCTTTTATTACAATATAAACTTCACCACAGGAAATTTCTGCTCCGGAGCTTTCATTTGAATGGTCACACAGTAAGATTTTGTCCGCGTTCTTAAAATCCAGAACTTCGAAAAGGTAGCGAACCCTCGGAGTGAAGGATCGTGAAAGGGTTGTAATTTTTTACTTGCATTGAAGATGAATGAACTCCAATTATGGTTGTAGTTTTTCTTATTTATTTCCAAGGACTTGTTGAATCTCCGTATCAGGTTAAGGATGGCAGCGCAGTTTTGCGATTTGGTACGGTTATATCACGGTTATCTGTAGAACCTGCGTCGAAACCGGCGTCTTAAAAAACGCTTGTTAAGACTGATCATAGTTTCGAGTTTCTAGTGGAAAATAACTGGAAAATAAGAAAGGAAACTGTCGCGCTATTAAGTACAGATCATAGCCTTATATACGAATGATGTTACCTTTAGTCATTCATGTGGCTTAAAACTTCGGTTGAGTTTGAAATTTAATTTTGTGTGAAATTTTCCTGTGGATCACTAAATGATAAGAGTAGAGCATAGTTTGTTTTATTTAAAAAATAGTGTATCGTTATTATACATTTATGATATAAATTACTATTTTGCAGTAGGGAAGGAAGATGATTATTTATAACATAGCTGTAAAAACTAACCTTTTAACCATATATACAAATGTACATAAACTATTGATGTGTGGAACCACGAATGCGTCTTTTCATGCATTTACTTTTTGTTTTGAAAAAGCTCCAGCTTGTACGCCATGAGTGGCTTGAAAGCATACGTCTCTTATTCCGTATACAGTAA